GAGGATGATCGGAAAGACGACGACGCTATGACATAAGGTTGTCACACTTCAAAGGGTTAAACGTCGCGGCAACATTACATTCGCATTAATTAAACGCGCAGGCGTACCGTTAAGGCGAGACTTATCCTTAATGAAACTGTCGCTCGATTAAGATGCAAACGAGACGCTTCCCGTATCTTGACGTTCGCGCGTAACCACGCGCGTATGTGTACACGGCTCGAGCTGACTCACCTTGTCCCATCCGGCCGATTGCGTGAGTCCATAAATCTCAATCCGTAAAGTCAAACACCGGCGGAATTGCAAATCGTAAGTAACAAACTGCGGCGCAAAGACTCTCGCGGCATCACAACGAGAGGATAGTAGCCCCGGCGAGAGCTCTTTGAAGCGGAACGAGCGGGATCCAGCGTTTCGGAACCGCGCCGTCGAGCCACCCCCATCGCGCCTTTGTCAATATTAGGTTTCCCCGTGATTACGTAATAAAGTAAACGTCGTTTTAACCCCTTTAGTCGGCGCTATCGACCGCCGTTCGAATTAGTTCGGTGCAAGTCATGTAAATTAGTCCCGAACCGTAACTCAGGGGGTGGAAATTGGGGAAAGCGGCGGTGGCAATGTCGGGGCCAAGGCAGCCTTATTGCCGGTGGCGACGGGTTAGAATGCCTGAAATATTACTCCGGCAATCAGCCCGTCTAGGCGCGGTCGCGGCACTATTAAGCGAATTTCTTTTCTCTGAATGAAAGCGTCGCGTCGTCGTGATGGTGACAGGGACTGACCACAAATTGCGGAAACGGTCCCGCGTTTCTTCGACAAAATTATTCACACGAACAAAATAAAGTAAGACAAAAAGTGATAAATGCAAGGCCAACTTATCGAGCTGAATATTCGAGTTGTTCAATCAAATAATAATATTTATTTCATGTATAAATTATTGAGTTACAATCATTGAATATTAAAACTAACGCAAAAATACAGTCATTATAAAATAAACGTTTCAACCGCACGCGGTCTTCTTTAGTATATTATTAAAATATAAAATCATAAAAAAAATGCATATAATGTCAAAAATTAATTTTAGTTCTTCAGAGTCGAGAGTTTATGAGCAGTTAACGCGTGTTTCAATCCATCATGTGTAGGAAAAATGTCGAACCAATGTTCGCCTCGATATGATCTTCGATTTTATTCAGATCTCGAAAAGTTTCGTCGTTAATAAGCGAGAAATTAAAACGTTCCGTAGGCGCTAACATCGTTCTTCTTGACAATTTTAACCACGTCTTAAAAAAGTTATTGAAGATGACACACGACAAAACCAACAATATAAAAAGACAGCTTATTTTAAACTCTCTAATAAGTAAAAATAAAGTAATATCAATTAAAATTTCTATTCGCTCGTGTATTGTATAAAACAAGAAATGTATTCAAAAAAGGCCAACTTATCGAGCAATATTTAAGATGTTGTATCCAATTAAAATTTATTTTATAAACGATATATTAAAATTACAAAAAAACCTTCCATAAACGTTTCAACCGCACGCGGTCTTCCTCAGTATAACAGTGTTTAGTAATTCATAATTCTTACAACAAAATAGATCATACTATTTTTAAACTTACTAATAGTCCGTTAATTCGAGTCGAGAATTTATTAGAAATTTATGCGTGTTACAATTTGTCATATTTAATTTATAAAAGTATTCGCCGTAATGTGATCTTATGATGTTGGGTCTCGTAAATTATTTCTTCGTTTTTAAGCGAGAAATTCTTAATATCCATAGGCGTTTGTGTCGCCTCTTCTCACAGTTTTAACAAAATTTTTTAAAAAATTAAAATTATTATAAATAGATGAAACCAACAGTCTAACAAGACACCTCATTTTGAACTATACTAATAAAATAAAGTAATTCAACGGAAAGGTTAATACATAATTCTGAATAAATCGTTTTGTTTTCAGTTAACGTTTTAAAGGGAAGAATATACAGCGAGAAAACAAATATAAGCTGTATCACTATTGAATATATACAGCTTTTTTTATCCTTTAGTTATAATAAAAATCACTATTTGATTGAATCGAAAAGTTCAGAAATCCCATATATCCAATAAGCCACAGTTTTGAGGGAAGAAAAGAGATATCGTTGCGTGGGATTTCTGTTTGAAGTGGAATATTTGTGCGTCTTCCAGCTCCGTACAAGTTATCGAGACTGCATGTGTTACTGTGAGACTGTCTGTAATATCTACTAAATCCACCATATATGATAAGATTACAAATGGATATTGATTAAAAAAATTATTTTATTTATTGAAAATTCGTTATTTCCGTCACTTCTTATATTTGTAAAAATAAATATTGGTTGTATCACGCGAGATATAATATAATATAGCAGTTCTCGAAAACCGATAAGATACGATTTTCCAAAATACCAACAAAATCCTCGTTTTATCCCGGGATGTGCGCTTTATCCGTCAATAAATTCACGATAAAACTGAAATTACGACCGATTGAGTTATATGGAGCGTATGCACGCGCCATAATTTTCTAATCGATCTTGAATTATTGAGTGGAAGCAAAACTGCAGAGCAGAATAATATCGGCGAGGATTTCGCCGAGGGCAGGAAGATAGAAATCGGCTTTAATTAATTGTATTATGCGCTCATCATACCGGATGGCCGGAACCTACCGAACGGGGAGATAAACGGTGAGCAAAAATGCAACACCACTCTTTTTAATTAATAATTGTCATTACGGTACGGATACATGTCTGTTATTTCGATTAATATTATTCAAGACCGTCCAGTTTTGACGTCACGTTCGGATGCATCATTCTCGCGAATAATTACCACGATCCACGTAAATGGACGCGCGTAAATTACTTGAAAAGAACGACGAAGATAAATAGTTTGTCGTATATGCGGATATTTTCGATCCATACAACCTTTTGCTACGCTTATCGCGTGTAATATATAAATCAACAAACTTCCGTAATGTATATACGCGCGCTCCTATAAATACCCTAACCAGAGCTTTCGCCTATCGACGCGGTTTATACACTCGAACCATTACCAATTTGCACGGCGCTTACGACGTTCGCAAAACCATCGTTCATGGTCACTTTACGCCGTTATCGACGATCGCCTTCTCGCGCGTCTATAAATTCTCAGTCACGTCGCGTGCAAGCCTACGTGAGTATAGCCGAGTGCAACGCAATGGATCCGCAATTTTCCCCCGGGTTCAACGCACTCGCGACGAAAAATGTTTCCTCCCACATCGACTCTGGAAAATTCAGAGGACGGAGACGCGTGTGTCGCGCGCGAGGACGGATATTTAACGGAAACTTCTGCCGATACATTTCTCGCGCTCATCCGATATCGAATGTGCGCGATAAGTATAACTCATTTTCCATTCAATATTATCTCGATCCTCGGGGGCCAATATCGCGCCGTAACTCTTAAAACTTGTAAAAATTTCTGAAATACATCCAGCACATCTAATATTTCCATTCCACGGGCTATGCACCAGAGAATAAAACTATAGATAATGTTAAAAGACGAGTGAAGAAAAGATGAGAGAGAAGAATATATTAAATATTAGAGACATATCGGATTCTAATATTATATGAGCGGAAAACTTGGATGCCAAACTATTCAATGTCGAAAGCACAAAATGTCGATGCTTCGATAGAGTTTATGGACGTATATATGGACACCTACACACCTTACATAAAACTAGCGATAATTTTCCGAATAACTTCGATTCCTCACGCGCGGCGAAGTACGCGCCGATGATATATCGCTTTATAACAAAGAGGATTTATCAACGTCAATTTGACGTGTAGGAAGGTGTACGCGTCTTGCGGCCAGCGACCCGCTATAACGAAGAAACGAGCGGCAGTCGAGGCCAGTCGGGCGGTTAATTTTACTCGCGCCGTTATCGCGGCGACGTTAGAACAACGAGTGGGGTTAATTAATTGCGGACCTTTTTTAATTTGTCTTGCCGGACGTCGGGATTACCACGAAATTTTTAGACCGATACATCTAGAAGTCGAGAGGTAGAAACGGTAAATTGGAGATACTTTATTGAAATGTGAAATGGAAAAAGCGAGGACTTGGGGGAGCAAATTTATTTAATCTAGGAAAAAGTCTCTCGTGCGATAATAAATCTTGTATGTTTTTTGGAAAGACTTGGAACTCGCAGGTTCCAAAAAAAAATCGTTTATCGTATATATACGAACGTTATCGATGATTCTATTGTCTTTAGCTTCATATTTATACGCGTATGAACTTATATGGTGATTTTTTTACAAGTTTGGAAAGGTATCCACAAAAGCTCATCGCTAAGTCACTTTAAGAAACACTTGAATCATCCTGAAAAAGAGCGCGCAAGATGGGACGCAAGATTAATTGTCCCAGCTCTAAATTAAGTTATTCACTTTGTTATAGTACTTGAGCTATCGCGCGGCAAGATACATGGCGCGTGATAAAGTAATAAGAGAGCGGAAAAGAGAGCGTGGGTGCTAGGATTAATGAGGGGAGAGAGAGTTTATGATCCTACGCTTAAAATTCGTCATACCTGGTATATGACTGCAAAGGGATGTGCAGGTAGAAATACCTGAGGAGACTTTCAAATTGAACGCGTATCTTATGCATACTTTAGTATTTTCTGTCTGAACAAATTTATTCCCCTTCATTTTAACAGAATATATAACTATACGGCGTTGTACAACCAAAATTTATAATTATTACCTGAAATATCTCTTTGAAACAAATGAAGTTAATGTAAGCGTTCTACAGTGTCCATTAAATTGAATAAAAACGACCATTGAAGGATTTTAATAAAGGGTCAACGAAATACGAAGTCAAAAGATTATTTTATTACATAACCGTAATTTATCATAAAATGTACCGATTTTATAGAATATTTTAATATCCTTTGTGAACATGTTTTATACATTTGTAAAAGGATAGAGGAAACGCACCGAGCATATTATATAACCAGTGAATTAAATAATTTTCAGTCAGCCCGCTGGAAGTGAAGATAACTGGTGCGAACCAGCCGCTGTCGGCGGGTAAGAAGTACGATTTGGTCTGCACAACTTCCGGTTCCAGGCCACCGGCCGGCATCACCTGGTGGAGAAATGGTCAGCGTTTAGTGAATTCCAAGGAGAATGTAAGTACGTCCCCAGATGAAACAATTTTCCTCCAATCCCCACGCAAACATACATTTTACTTGCTGTTCCCGGACCGCGTATAAAGTCAAACTTGTCTCAAATAATATGTTTGAATGTGATACGTGAAATGTCTTTTCACTCGTATTTTTTTCTTAAAAAGGGAGTGCTTCATTAATGCATTTCTAAAATTTTTAGTAATTCTCAAATAAACTGACAGAGTTTTCATTAACTAAATAATTCATTGTTTTAAAAGTCGAATATATGACAGAATATATTTTATCTCTTTAAAATTGCAATGCAGATGTTATTGTATTATTAATTATAATATTAATTATGAATGTTATTTTATTGTTAATTATAATATTAATTATATATTTTGATAATTTCAATATTTTCAATTATGTAAACACGTAAAACGAGTGTTTTGACAGCTAAACTAAACCATAACCGACAAGTTAACGTAGCTTTTGAGTTATGCATCTACTTCATGGTTTTTTCCCTAATATATTAAAAACGTATCTATCACCGCTAGAAAGTTTGATGCGTGCCTAAACTTTCAGACTCTTTCTCACGCATTCATTACATTTTCTCGTAAAGGATTTACGATAGAAAATATCAAAAGGATTAATTTATTAATCCTTTCTTTATATTTGATTTAATGTGTATTGACCAAGAAATTCTTAGAACTAAACCCATACAGCACGCAAACTGGTTGTTGAATCAACATCTCGAAAACGTTACTCTGCAATATTGCAATATTGTATCAACGTTATAAAATGTAGATTTAATATTAAAAATATGTTGCAGAAATGTCTAATGTTCGCTGAATTGCAATGTCGTGTAGACGTGTTGTTTCAACGTTGTAGCAATATATTAAAAAAATCAATGTAATAGACGCAACATAGATTCAACGTTGCAAAACTATTAATATTTCAATATTCAACATTGGAACGTATCAACAACGTTATTATTTCAACTTTTTGTGCTGTGTGGGAAATATAAAAATTCGTGAATATGCATGAGAAATATACAATCAAATTTTTTTCAATTAAAATTATCATATTTGCGGGATCGTGTTTTATTGTAGAGCGATAGTATCGAATTAATCTCCGGGTTAGCGAAAGACGACAATTAATCTTCTGCACTGTCTCGATTCATCTGCTTGACATGTGTCTCCTAATTTCATCGCGGTGGGACTGCAATTTCCACGTTCAATTTCCGCGGATTAAGCGACGAGCGCAAAAAAAGAACGATAGACACGACCGATTACGTGATCGACTGCCGTTTACAGTGCAAGGATTACGTTTAATTGATGGGAAATGCAGCTATTCTGAAGAGCCATAATGTCGGAACATATTCTTGTTGAACATTAAGATAAAAAAAGGATCACGATAATGAAAAAGATTTAACGAAAATCAAAATTAAACGCGAACACATTTCTTTCTGAAATGATCCGACACATTTTGTGTTAAATGTAAAATTTACGCGGATAAATTTTCTCGTATAACCATCCTCCGTTCCTTCGTTTTATTTTTATTTACGTGTTGAAGACTTTTCAACAATTTTTTAATAGAATAAAATGTTTACGTGTCGGATAATAAAATAGGAGCAGGTAATAGATTAATTAATAGAATGAATCAAATTTCTCAGTTTTAGAGAGGAGAAATGTAACAAATTGTTAGCTATCTTGTGATTGTTTATTGAACACAATCGGAGAGCGTTTCGTTCACAATGAGAAATTCTTTTCGTATAAACCGTAGATTCGAATTTAACGTGAAATTGAAAATAAAATGAAAAAACTAGAAAAATTGTTGCAACACAATATAACATTATCGAATCGTACATGGTACTCCGATAAAAAAAAGCGTATCATTTCGTATAGTTATAGGAGATTAATCAACAGCGATAATGAAGAAACACGTTACAAATACTGATAACTCTAATTATAATCGCAGCTCGAGTAAGGAGGAATATCTCGCCGGGACGATAATACTTGATCTATGAGAATGGAGGAATCCTCTGCGCGCATGTCTTTTCTCCCTTTCTCTTTTCCGGTCTTTCTCTTTCTCTCCTCCTTTCATTCCAATACAATTCATTAATTCATTCAATTTCATTTCGAACGCGCGCGTGGCAAAATAAATTCCGATTTAACGTAAATCGAACGCGCTCTAACCGGAAACGCGGCGTTTCTGTCGTGAGAAACGGATGAAGGTATTTCGTATACAAAGCAAACAAACGTCAATAGAAACACGGATTAGCGACGAAATGAAAGAACGTACTTTCGAATAAATTGACCCGTTGTCGGGGGAAATCGAGCATCGGCCGCTGTTTATCCTACTTCGATTTTACCCCACACAGCCACCCCGATAAAATACACCGGGTGGTGCACACGAACGCGCAAACAACGCCATACGCGTCGTATCCGCGTTTTGATCCGCATTTAAGACGACGACGTAAATATTTGCTGGGGAACGGCGGATTAAAGACGCCGACGACGACGAAGGGACAGAGAAAATATTGTTTCAAAGTCGATACCCACCACTACACGACACGGGAGGTACTGTAGATTGTTTTGTTGCTTACGTAAGAAAGTTAAACATAGAAGTGGAGATGATGGCCGGAAGAGGGAAAATATACAACTGGGGAGGAACCGTCTATAATCCACGGTGAAAGAAGGAGGAGAGAGAGTTCATCTTCTCTCTCTCACTCTCTTTTCGTAATCACGCAATTCCTCGGCGAGAGAGAGTTTTCGAGCTTCATCCTTCTCGGTTTTGCACGATTACGCAACCGCGCGCAAAAGTAGCTTTACCAGTGGCATACATAATGCCTCTCGCGTAAACGAGCTTCGCGCCTCGCGCGGAGTATTTTTCTCCGTCCGCGTATCGTCTGCGAAATTGCAGCAATTACGTTAATCGATTCGACCCAACCCGGGGAATGCGCAACCGGAAATATATTTTTAATGGATAGCGCATCTCATTTCGTAATTATCTTTGCGTGGGGCAACGCGCGAAACGGATCCTCGCCGTCGCCATTGGAACGAAATTAGAGCGGGCGAGTGCCCTCGTCGTTGATTTATTCCCCCAACAAGACGCGAAATTTATTATTCGCGGGCGCACGAGCGCGCCACTGTCTCGCGATTATTTTTTAATCGCGCGACAGGAGCTGCGTCGCGCAGCGTATCCCGCAGCAAGATTGAAGGTATACCACGGCCCTTTGTATGGGTCTGCATTTTTTTTTGTGCAAACATCACGGGAAAGTTAAAAAATCGCCCGAGATATTTTGATGGTTTTATGAAATATTTTGCTTTATTATTCGTTTACCGTGATGTGAATAATGCAGGTGATGCATTTTTCTGCCTATTGCGCGCATAATTTCGGAGGTCCACATACGTGGAATATAATTCGCAGATCCGGTTCATTGGACTAAGCGAGATTTGAATGTTTAATTCACGAATTGTAAAATGGAGTTAATTCATTATCCGCAAACTTCGCAATTTTTCGCAAACCGCGGGATTTTTAAGTGCAGCGAAGCTGCTAATGATTTTGTCATGAAGGTAATGATATATGTTGATTAAAACATAAAATACTACGAGTGATAAAACTCTCAAATTTTTTCCCACATTTATAATACTCGGTATAGCTGAAAAAGCCTCACATATGTGCCGCACGATATGAATAAATCACTTGAATTACCGTGGATTTGCTGAAATTTATTTGGAAATTAAATTGGAGATGCGAGGCCGCGAAATATGATAATTTTTCTATGTACTTTTATCTAATAATAATAACCGTTCACAAAATAAAATACGGAATATACCTATCGAAAAATAGAAATTTTGCGTTTGTATGACCCTTTAATATATCTTGGAAACCTCTCACACTATTTACTCAGACAACAACGCGAAAAAAAGAATACTCATGCGAATGTACCAAACGTTAAAAAATCGTCCGAGATATTTTGATGGTTTTATGAAATATTTTGCTTTATTATTCGTTTAAATAAACGGACTGATCGATAGTTTCAAAATAAAACAAGCCCGTGCGCTCTATATTTATTCTGCGATCAAAATCGATACTAAACACGATTTTCATAGACTTTTCTCGCGTTATTTATTCGTTCCTTCTATCAATCGGCGGACTCGTTTATTTACCTCTAACTAAGCAAATAAGTGATTTATGGAAAAGGCGGACTTTGCATGCATTCATATATATATACGCTTATGTATCATTTCCGATTGTACGGATGAACAGAAATAATTTTCGACGATCTTAACAAAAGATGATTAATCGGCCACTCGATGTATAATGGACGTCCATTATAGCATTGATTCGTTTTGATTGACGAATGCGAATTTATCGCGGAGACGACATTCTCTGATATAAATTATTCATTCTCTAACGACGCTTTTATACCAGGGTCTCGCGGCGACCTCGTGATAACGATAATTTACACGCAATTACGTAGAACAACGTGCGCGACCGAGAACTTTATTTTATAGTCGCTTTAAGGAGCTGTACGAGCCGGGGTCGAGTCTGCAAATTACGTTGAATGCGCGTCCCGGTGTAAATCGAATCGGAAGTCTGTCTCTTTCCGCGCGAAGATGCGCGTCTGATCTTTTAGAGGCTTCTTCGACTTGAAGGAGTTCTGAAAGAACAAATTTACTCTTACGACATCGGCAAGAGCTTCGAATTAAACGTGAATTTTATCACATTTATAAATAACACGTATTTTGATTTGCCGCGCCTGTAAAAGGCAATAATTCTTTTTTTTTTTTTTTTCATTTTTAAGAAACAGAATAAAGTTTGATAAAAAGCTTGAATTATTAATTCAAACGTTTGGAACACGAAATTTTTACTTCAAACAAGCTATGTAATAATATTGTACGAAAGAATAGACAACTTTGAAATATTATTGAGGGACAAAATTAAATTTATTTGTGTACAGAGATGCTCGGAAGAAGTGATTCTTTGTGAATAAAATTGAAAGAGAGATGAAGTATTACTTTAAAAAGTATATTACTCACATACGTGCATTATATTCGTACTACTTTAAGAGTTTCACCGCTCATATATATACAGGATAAAGTTTCTTAGCGATGATAGATGTGCTATTAGATTAGAAAAAGACAACCAAGAGATAAATTATATATAGACAATCTAGAAAAATAGGAAAAAATAATGCAAAATCTCTTATTGACTTGACGCAGATATTTAAACCGTGGAAATAAACCAGAGAGAAAAAACACGTATATTGAATAAGTTACCAGTCAAACTTGATGTAATGACGATCCGATCCCTAAAAGATAGAAGCTACTTCTTTACTCTTAGAAAATGGGTCGATCCCTCGAGAAGGATAACGAGAGATTGATCGAGAATTTCGGCTGTAGTTAGCGTCGACCCTCCAGATCCGAGTGATAGATACGCTTTTAATATATATTTGAACGTCATCGAAAACGCAGAAGGTAAAGAGGCGGGGTTCCTCCAACGCGAGGAAAAGAAAAAGAATAAGTGCAACGAGCAGAATCATCCCCGGCGCCAGTGGGGCGACGGAATCAACCCCGGTGAACGTTATCATAATGTTGTTACAGACTTCCGCCGATGGGAACACGACCACCAGCGTTTTATCTTTCATGGCGACGAAAGCAGACGCCGGTAGACACTTGTCGTGTCAAGCTGAAAATCGAATCATGGGAACCGCGCCGATAGAGGACGGCTGGATACTCCAGATACAATGTAAGCTCATAAACGCCGATGGTTCCTGCGACTGCGTTCTCTCCCTCCGGGGAGAGCGCGACGCTCTTTTCTTATTTATTCAGACGAATCCGGTCGATTTTGACGATTTATCGAAGATCGTGATTCCCAGACACTCCGGAGACGCAGATCCAGCTCGGCACATCGCTGAATCCCAACGCCATACGCGAGGGCACGGACGTATATTTCGACTGCCTTATACAGGCCGAACCGGTGGTTTATAAGGTGGAATGGCGGCATCAGGTGAATGAAAATATACTTTTATTCAGGACAAAATTTATATGTGTGTAATTTTTTTTATTTTCGATCCGTTATTTTATAGACGATTCAAGTACTCGGTGTTTCTTGATGTTCCTAATAAATTTGACATGACGTACAGCAAAAGAAATACATATACATATTTGATGGGTTTTTAAATTATTACAGAAATTTAATCTCAAATGATCTCAAATTAAAAATATACGAGCTATTTTCTAGCTGAATTATACATTAGCTCAAATTTATTCCTAGTATTATTTGGTAAATTAAATTTTGCATAAATAATTCAATTATTACTAAAATACAAATATTTCTATTTTCGAGAAGAAATTGATCGAAAAACAAGATATTCGCAGGTCGCATTACGAGAATCTCGCGTGTATCTCTTCATCTCTCGAGTCGTTGCGATTATGATTAATCAATCTTGAAAATGCGCAACAATGTTCGTCGCGAGTAATTCGTCCATATCCCGCGGAAGTCCGAAAAGTTCTAAAACCCGAGTGTCGTAAACAGATTGGTCTCTTGCCGGCTAACAAGCTCGATTATGCCCGCACTCGCTCGCGAGAGAGCATCGACTTACGTTAAGACCGAATACAAACTTCGGCGCTCGAAGCATCAAACTTTTATAATAACTTCTCGTCACTCGAGAGATGCGAGAGCACTCCCATATTCTCTCGCGCTTCCGACGAGGGAGATTGTACGGCTAGATTCTCACGTTACAAACACAAACACGCGTGCATACAAGCGGAAAATAATTTTCGCGCGCGGAAGGCTGGCGGTTCAATCTACCGACGAGAGAAAGAGAGAGAGAGAGAGAGGCGTCAATTATCGTGTTTCTTCCAGAGCAAGGCACTCCATCACAACATCACTCAGGGTATTATAATCAGCAACCAGAGCTTGGTGCTGCAGGGGGTCGATCGCAAAAGCGCCGGCAATTACACGTGCGTAGGATATAATACCGAGGGCGACGGCGAGAGCTCGCCCTTTTATCTCAACGTCATGTGTACGTATCCGCTAGTAGTAAGATACTCGATAAATCAGACCCTTCGATGAAACAATTTTATTTTCCCATGTTACGTATACGTATATATAAAGAATATTTAAAATTATTCTAAAATCATAATATATACAAACCTAGTTGAATTATTTTATATTTTACATTTTAATTATACAATAATATTATAATTTCTAATAGATAAACAAATCCGATAGTAGTAAGATACTCGATAGATCAGACGCTTTGATTAAACAATTTTATTTTCCCATATTACGTATACATATATATAGGGAATATTTAAAATTATTCTGAAATTATATATAAACCTATTTGAATTATTTGATATTTTAAATTTTAATTATACAATAATATAATCATTTTCAATGAATAGATTCGCTAGTAATAAGATACCCAATAGATCAGACGCTTCGATGGAACAATTTTATTTTCCCATATTACGTATACATATATATAGGGAATATTTAAAATTATTCTGAAATTATATATAAACCTAGTTCAATTATTTTATATTTTAAATTTTAATTACACCATAATATAATTATTTTCAATAGATAAACAAATCCGATAGTAGTAAGATACTCGATAGATCAGACGCTTCGATGAAACAATTTTATTTTCCATATTACGTATACATATATATAGGGAATATTTAAAGTTATTTGAAATTATATATAAACCTAGTTGAATTATTTGATATTTAAATTTTAATTATACCATAATATAATTATTTTCAATAGATAAACAAATCCGATAGTAGTAAGATACTCGATAGATCAGACGCTTCGATGAAACAATTTTATTTTCTGATATTACGTATACATATATATAGGGAATATTTAAAATTATTCTGAAATTATATATAAACCTAGTTGAATTATTTGATATTTTAAATTTTAATTATACCATAATATAATTATTTTCAATAGATAAACAAATCCGATAGTAGTAAGATACTCGATAGATCAGACGCTTCGATGAAACAATTTTATTTTCCATATTACGTATACATATATATAAAGAATATTTAAAGTTATTCTGAAATTATATATAAACCTAGTTGAATTATTTGATATTTTAAATTTTAATTATACATAATATAATTATTTTCAATAGATAAACAAATCCGATAGTAGTAAGATACTCGATAGATCAGACGCTTCGATGAAACAATTTTATTTTCTTATATTACGTTTACATATATATAAAGAATATTTAAAATTATTCTGAAATTATATACAAACCTAGTTAATATATTTGATATTTTAAATTTTAATTATACAATAATATAATCATTTTCAATGAATATACAAATCCGGTAGTAGTAAGATAGTCGATAGATCAGACGCTTCGATGAAACAATTTTATTTTCTGATATTACGTATACATATATATAAGGAATATTTAAAATTATTCTCAAATTATATATAAACCTAGTCGAATTATTTGATATTATAAATTTTAATTATATCATAATATAATTCTTTACAATAGATAAACAAATCCGATAGTAGTAAGATACTCGATAGATCAGACGCTTCGATGAAACAATTTTATTTTCTTATATTACGTATACATATATATAAAGAATATTTAAAATTATTCTCAAATTATATATAAACCTAGTTGAATTATTTGATATTTTAAATTTTAATTATACCATAATATAATTATTTACAATAGATAAACAAATCCGATAGTAGTAAGATACTCGATAGATCAGACGCTTCGATGAAACAATTTTATTTTCTTATATTACGTATACATATATATAAAGAATATTTAAAGTTATTCTGAAATTATATAAAACCTAGTTGAATTATTTGATATTTTAAATTTTAATTATACATAATATAATTATTTTCAATAGATAAACAAATCCGGTAGTAGTAAGATACTCGATAGATCAGACGCTTCGATGAAACAATTTTATTTTCTGATATTACGTATACATATATATAAGAATATTTAAAATTATTCTGAAATTATATATAAACCTAGTTGAATTATTTGATATTTTAAATTTTAATTATACAATAATATAATCATTTTCAATAAATATACAAATCCGGTAGTAGTAAGATACTCGATAGATCAGACGCTTCGATGAAACAATTTTATTTTCCATATTACGTATACATATATATAAAATATTTAAAATTATTCTAAAATTATATATAAACCTAGTTGAATTATTTGATATTTTAAATTTTAATTATACAATAATATAATCATTTTCAATGAATATACAAATCCGGTAGTAGTAAGATACTCGATAGATCAGACGCTTCGATGAAACAATTTTATTTTCTTATATTACGTATACATATATATAAGAATATTTAAAATTATTCTGAAATTATATATAAACCTAGTTGAATTATTTGATATTTTAAATTTTAATTATACAATAATATAATCATTTTCAATGAAATACAAATCCGGTAGTAGTAAGATACTCGATAGATCAGACGCTTCGATGAAACAATTTTATTTTCTGATATTACGTATACATATATATAGGGAATATTTAAAATTATTTGAAATTATATATAAACCTAGTTGAATTATTTGATATTTTAAATTTTAATTATACCATAATATAATTTTTCAATGATAAACAAATCCGGTAGTAGTAAGATACTCGATAGATCAGACGCTTCGATGAAACAATTTTATTTTCTCATATTACGTATACATATATATAGGAATATTTAAAGTATTCTGAAATTATATATAAACCTAGTTGAATTATTTGATATTTTAAATTTTAATTATACAATAATATAATCATTTTCAATAAATAACAAATCCGGTAGTAGTAAGATACTCGATAGATCAGACGCTTCGATGAAACAATTTTATTTTCCATATTACGTATACATATATATAGAATATTTAAAGTCATTCTGAAATTATATATAAACCTAGTTGAATTAATTGATATTTTAAATTTTAATTATACAATAATATAATTATTTTCAATAGATAAACAAATCCGATAGTAGTAAGATACTCGATAGATCAGACGCTTCGATGAAACAATTTTATTTTCCCATATTACGTATACATATATATATAGAATATTTAAATTATTCTGAAATTATATATAAACCTAGTTGAATTATTTTATATTTAAAATTTTAATTATACAATAATATAATCATTTTCAATGATAACAAATCCGGTAGTAGTAAGATACTCGATAGTTCAGACGCTTCGATGAAACAATTTTATTTTCCATATTACGTATAAATATATATAGGGAATATTTAAAGTCATTCTGAAATTATATATAAACCTAGTTGAATTATTTGATATTTTAAATTTTAATTATACATAATATAATCATTTTCAATGAATAAACAAATCGGTAGTAGTAAGATACTCGATAGATCAGACACTTCGATGAAACAATTTTATTTTCCCATATTACGTATACATATATATAAGAATATTTAAAGTCATTCTGAAATTATATATAAACCTAGTTGAATTATTTGATATTTTAAATTTTAATTATACAATAATATAATCATTTTAATAGAATAAACAAATCCGGTAGTAGTAAGATACTCGATAGATCAGACGCTTCGATGAAACAATTTTATTTTCTCATATTACGTATACATATATATAAGAAATATTTAAAGTCATTCCGAATTTATATATAAACCTAGTTGAATTAATTGATATTTTAAGTTTTAATTATACAATAATATAATTATTATTAATAGATAAACAAATCCGATAGTAGTAAGATACTCGATAGATCAGACGCTTCGATAAAACAATTTTATTTTCCCAAATTACGTATACGTATATATAAGGGATATATAAAATTATTCTGAAATTATATACAAATCTAGTTCACTTATTTGATATTTTAAATTTTAATTATACAATAATATAATCATTTTCAATGAATATACAAATCCGGTAGTAGTAAGATACTCGATAGATCAGACGCTTCGATGAAACAATTTTATTTTCCATATTACGTATACATATATATAGGAATATTTAAAGTTATTCTGAAATTATATATAAACCTAGTTGAATTATTTGATATTTTAAATTTTAATTATATCATAATATAATTATTTTCAATAAATAAACAAATCCGATAGTAGTAAGATACTCGATAGATCAGACACTTCGATGAAACAATTTTATTTTCTCATATTACGTATACATATATATAGAATATTTAAAGTCATTCCGAATTATATATAAACCTAGTTGAATTATTTGATATTTTAAATTTTAATTATACAATAATATAATCATTTCAATAATAAACAAATCCGGTAGTAGTAAGATACTCGATAGATCAGACGCTTCGATAAACAATTTTATTTTCTATATTACGTATACATATATATAGAGAATATTTAAAGTTATTTGAAATTATATATAAACCTAGTTAATTATTTGATATTTTAAATTTTAATTATACAATAATATAATTATTTTCAATGATAAACAAATCCGATAGTAGTAAGATACTCGATAGATCAGACGCTTCGATGAAACAATTTTATTTTCCATATTACGTATACATATATATAGGGAATATTTAAAATTATTCTGAAATTATATATAAACCTAGTTGAATTATTTGATATTTTAAATTTTAATTATACAATAATATAATCATTTTCAATGAATAAACAAATCCGGTAGTAGTAAGATACTCGATAGATCAGACGCTTCGATGAAACAATTTTATTTTTCATATTACGTATACATATATATAAAGAATATTTAAAGTTATTTTGAAATTATATATAAACCTAGTTGAATTATTTGATATTTTAAATTTTAATTATACAACAATATAATCATTTTCAATGAATAAACAAATTCGGTAGTAGTAAGATACTCGATAGATCAGACGCTTTGATGAAACAATTTTATTTTCTCATATTACGTATACATATATATAGAGAATATTTAAAGTATTCCGAAATTATATATAAACCTAGTTGAATTATTTGATATTTTAAATTTTAATTATACAATAATATAATCATTTTCAATGAATAAACAAATCCGATAGTAGTAAGATACTCGATAGATCAGACGTTCGATGAAACAATTTTATTTTCTAATATTACGTATACATATATATAGAGAATATTTAAAATTATTTTGAAATTATATACAAACCTAGTTAATATATTTGATATTTTAAATTTTAATTATACAATAATATAATCATTTACAATGAATAAACAAATCCGGTAGTAGTAAGATACTCGATAGATCAGACGCTTCGATAAAACAATTTTATTTTCTTATATTACGTATACATATATATAGGGAATATTTAAAATTATTTTGAAATTATATATAAACCTAGTTGAATTATTTGATATTTTAAATTTTAATTATACAATAATATAATTATTTTCAATGAATAAACAAATCCGGTAGTAGTAAGATACTCGATAGATCAGACGCTTCGATGAAACAATTTTATTTTCTTATATTACGTATACATATATATAGAGAATATTTAAAGTTATTTTGAAAATATATAAACCTAGTTGAATTATTTGATATTTTAAATTTTAATTATACATAATATAATCATTTTCAATGAATAAACAAATCCGGTAGTAGTAAGATACTCGATAAATCAGACGCTTTGATGAAACAATTTTATTTTCCATATTACGTATACATATATATAGAGAATATTTAAAGTTATTTTGGAATTATATATAAACCTAGTTAAATTATTTGATATTTTAAATTTTAATTATACAACAATATAATCTTTTTCAATGAATAAACACATTCGGTAGTAGTAAGATACTCGATAGGTCAGACACTTTGATGGAACAATTTTATTTTCTCATATTACGTATACATATATATAGGGATATTTAAAGTCATTCCGAATTTATATATAAACCTAGTTGAATTAATTGATATTTTAAATTTTAATTATACAATAATATAATCATTTTCAATGAATAAACAAATCCGATAGTAGTAAGATACTCGATAGATCAGACGTTTCGATGAAACAATTTTATTTTCCCATATTACGTAAACATATATATAGAGAATATTTAGAGTTATTTTGGAATTATATATAAACTTAGTTGAATTATTTGATATTTTAAATTTGAATTATACAACAATATAATCTCTTTTAATGAATAAACACATTCGGTAGTAGTAAGATACTCGATAGATCAGACGCTTTGATGAAACAATTTTATTTTACCAAATTACGTATACGTATATATAAGGAGTATTTAAAATTATTCCGAACTTATATATAAACTAAGTTGAATTATTTGATATCTTAAATGTTAATTATACCATAATAAAATTATTTTTAATAGATAAACAAATCCGATAGTAGTAAGATACTCGATAGATCAGACGCTTCGATAAAACAATATAATTTTTTCAATTTACGTATACATATATATAGGGAATATTTAAAGTCAGTTTGAAATTATATATAAATCTAGTCGAATTATTTAATATCTTAAATGTTAATTATATCATAATATAATTATTTTTAATAGATGAACAAATCCGATAGTAGTAAGATACTTCAGACGCTTCGATGAAACAATTTTATTTACTCAAATTACGTATACGTATATATAGGGAATATTTAAAATTATTCTGAAATTATATACAAACTTAGTTGAATTATTTGATATTCTAAATTTTAATTATACAATAATATAATCATTTTCAATGAATAAACAAATTCGGTAGTAGTAAGATACTCTATAGATCAGTCGCTTTGTTAAACAATTTTATTTTCTCATGTTATGTATACGTATCTATAGGGAATATTTAAAATTATTCTGAAATTATATATGAACTTAGTCGAATTATTTGATATTATAAATTTTAATTATACCATAATATAATTATTTAAATAGATAAACAAATCCGATAGTAGTAAGATACTCGATATATCAGACGCTTCGATGTAACAATTTTATTTTCTCATGTTACGTATACGTATATATAAGGAATATTTAAAATTATTTTGAAATTATATATAAACCTAGTTGAATTATTAGATTTCTTAAATTTTAATTATACAATAATATAATTATTTTTAATAGATAAACAATTTGGTAGTAGTAAGATACTCGATAGATCAGACGTTTCGATGAAACAATTTTATTTTTCCATGTTACGTATACGTATATATAGGGAATATTAAAATTATTTTGAAATTATATATGAACCTAGTTGAATTATTTTATATTTTAAATTTTAATTATACCATAATATAATTATTTATAATGAATATACAAATTCGGTAGTAGTAAGATACTCGATAGATCAGACGCTTCGATGAAACAATTTTATTTTCTCATGTTATGTATACGTATTTATAGGGAATATTTAAAATTATTCTGAAATTATATATAAACGTAGTTGAATTATTTGATATAAATTTTAATTATACCATAATATAATTATTTACAATAGATAAACAAATCCGATAGTAGTAAGATACTCGATAGATCAGACGTATCGATGAAACAATTTTATTTTCTCATGTTACGTATACGTATATATAGGGAATATGTAAAATTATTTTGAAATTATATATAAACTTCAATTATTTGATATTTCAAATTTTAATTATACAATAATATAATCATTTTCAGTGAATAAACAAATGCAAAAGAATGTTATACAAAGCTTCTCAATTTCTTCGACGTTTAGTGAAACGTGTAATCGGCTTTTCATGGATTAATTCATTGTACAGATTGTTAAAGTACTACTAAAATTCCCTTCGGCGATAAATAAACGATTTTTCGGATTATTTATCACGCTAAGAACGTAAATGGTAACACCGATATGGACAGCGTAATGAAAAACAGACACGCTTCGTTCGGTTGGCTTTAATTAATAATGGATTATAACGCGCAAAGATTCGGTGTTCCCGTAAATTTTCACCGTGAAATTTTAATTCCGAGTTTACGTTGTGCACGAGTTCGAATGTCTCTCGTGAATTGCGTGTGTAACCAGTTCCACTGTTTGTCCGTTTGCGCGCGGAGATTATCGGATGCGATATATCGAAATATTTCACGGATTGTAACAGTTTTACTAATCAATATTTGAATTGATTCGTGAGCGAGAATCGACTCGCTGTGGGACATATTATAGGAAAGTTACTCCCGCGTGTTTAACACAGAAATTCGCAGCTAAAAATTACAAGCGCGTAATGTAATAACATTCGCATGGTCAGTATAAAAAAAAATAAATAAAAATAGTGAAAAAAAAGTTTAAAAATTTTTCTTGTATAATATAATTAATTTATTATATATCAAAGTGTATTTAATGTTAATAAATGATTTACCATCTAATTTCTATTATTTATAATAGAAAATAATAATATTGTATGTGATAAATTTCTGGATGAATCATTAAGTTTTGATTTTATGCAAATTTAATTATTCTAGTATAAAGTCAGTTAACATAGAAATTAAAATATTTATAGAAATTGAGCTTTATTCATTTAAATGAGCGGCAGAGAATATCTTTTTTCACATATTTTCACGGGAATACTTAAAGAAATAAATAATAGTTGTCTAATGACCATGAATTTCGTTGAGATTCTCCAAAAATACTACATTATGAAAAACATACAAGAAAAAGAGAAATCGCAGAGATGTTTTACATCAAGAAGCATTCGAATGTTATTAATTTACAAAAAGATACGGAGAATTTCAGTGGGATTTATGACCGCGTTCTTGACTCTATTTGATTATATTTATTTATTTGACTTTGTTACTGTAATTTAACTTTGATGTCTTACTGTTAGTACTTAATTGGATTTCGAGTAGTTAACATCGTTTTGACGTTCTATCGGTGGATTGTTGCTTTCTGCAGTGTTTTATGTAACGTTTGTTAAAATGCAGCTAGCCCGCAATAGTTTTAAATTATTCACGCCCGTCTTATGAATTTGATTTACATTCTTTACTTTATTTGGTAACGTAATCTATTTTTATTAATCTATATTTTGTGTTCATATATGCGTGTAATTATATTTATTTTTAAAAATTTTTTAATTTTATATTTTTTAATCTTTAATATTAATTTTTGTTGTGATTAATATTCGTAGATTTACTTGAGAAGGACCGCATTGATGACCGAAACGTCGTATGTAATTTAATCATTGAATAAATCATTGTTAGTCTGGTCGACTTATTCAGTTATTATTTATTTAAAGAAATATAATCTGTGGCTCTGAATCAGCAAGATATTAAATTTAAAAATTTTTTAAAATTTTTCCATTATATAATTTGGTACATGTTGACTCTAAAGTTAGAAAATCTATCAATAAGGTGAAGCGAAGATAGTAATAAAATATTTCGTGTGTCCCGATTAATCAAATTATTTTTTTATATCAAACTTTCAATAAAAACTTAATGAATCATGAACTGTCAGTCAAATCGTAATATATTTAGCAATAGCATAAGGGGTTGCAAGACGAAAATATATCTGCGTTCTAATTATTATATTTATCGATGTCATTTTCGACTTTCTGCAGTCGCTCCCACGTGCAAGCCGAATCAGACCAAGGTCCATGGCGTGGCGAAACAGGAGAAGGCGAATATATCCTGTCAAGTGGATGCAAATCCGCCGGAAGTGCAATTCAAATGGACCTTCAATAACTCCGCCGAGAGTATCGACGTTTCGGCCGGTCACATCGCGCGAGCCGGCACATCTTCCATCGTCTCATACACACCAATGACAGAACTAGATTACGGCACGCTACTTTGTTGGGCCAGCAATCACATCGGCCAACAACAAGTACCCTGCGTCTATCACATTATTCCAGCCGGTAAGATATATCATTATTCATATCCGTATCGTGACGTTGGCGAAAATGCGAACCGACGTTACGAAACTGGTTCTCGATATGCAACGTGAATTTTTGATGAAGGAGATTGATTGTCACGACGGAATTGCGACGTGACGTAATAAAGTTATGCAAATTATTCACGAATTTCAAAAAATTTATATGAGATAAGAAATCTCGATTTGGTCATTTTGTAATTTACGATTGCTTTTGTGAACTAAAAAAAGATTAGAATAAATGTGGGTAGAAAGAAAAGAATTTATTTTAGAAAGAGAAGACTAGTATTAAGGAGATGAATGATTATAATTTTCTCTGAATTAGAAGATTAAAACGTTTTCTCGGATTTAGAGAATTAGAGAAAAATGTATGCTTTTAAAAAATAAATTTCTGTATAATCCGCTTATTTTTCGTAAATTGGTAAAATTGATAATAAACTTAGTACTAATGGTTTTTTATTGGAAAGATTTAATTCTTTCGGAAATTACAACTTTATGCTAATTTAAGACCCGGATTTTGCTCCTAGTTTCCAAAGTTTGAATTTACCTAATTGAATAACTAATTTAAATCTTAATATATATTTGGAAAGAGCATATATAGTGATGGAAGTAGTATATGTCGCTTTATTAGAATTATTCAATTACCTGAAATTTCCAATTACCTAAATAAGTATAAGTTTTGCAATTATAATTAGCTCTAAAATTACTATTGAAATAACGATATATAAATTAATAATAAAATCGCAAATTATTTTCGAATATCAAAAAACTTTGTATAAAAACAAAACTTAAAAAATATGTAATTATATTATAACATACATATTACGTTCGCCTCTCGCAAAGTATATAATAATATAAAAAATTATTAGTTTATTTGTTAAACAAAAATCATTCATAAAAAACCTGATACTACTGTTTTTTATTTAAAATATACGACTTAGAAAATCCACACAAGAACTAACGGGAGAGATCCGTAACGTCAGTATCCCCATTATTCCCATGGTCGTATTTCTGCCGATATTGATGCTCGAGTTACCAATTAATTGCGATTCGCGGATCGGATTGCTTTAATGCAAAGAAAACGTGCGTATGCATATACAAGAACGCGCGCATACATATATATATTCGGGGTATAAAAGAAAACGGTTTTCGTCCTTCATGCCGCAGCAAAAAATAGATACGACTTAAGCAGATAAAAAGGAGAAGGTGACGAAGGGGAGGATTCGCGAAATGGTAGCAGGTGTCCGGCACTGTGATTTTTCAGGAACCATAAACGCGAGAACAATCTCGCGGCATATTTCCGCTTATTTCCCTTTCTTTATTTCTCCTCTCTCGCGACACAATATGCCATATTCCCGTTACCATCTCGTTCCTGCCCTTTTAGTCGGCTTTTACGAGCCGCAAAGTAGTACCATCGGCTAATACTTCCCCAGGAAAATACCACACAAACATCCGTGCATCTTTACAGCCGACTCGGTTGTGCAGCTTACAAGTGGCTCTTGTATATGCCGGCGTACCGTGAACCAGATTTACAGGGCAACTATCACGCCCTGATTCGCGAATGTACCGCACGTGAACCGATATGTTGCATAAGACCTCCTCTTCCATCGTCTGTATAAGAAACTATACATCATCTTCGTGAGAAAAGAATGTAATATCGAAAGTTAGAGTAAACTTCAGAACACGCTGATGCTAAAGAGAATCTACTTACATAATTAGACCGCTTATATAATTAGTTTGTTTAAAATGTGGCACACTTTTAATAACGGCGTAAAAGGCATAAACGAACTTTAGAAATGTTGAGGAGAGTTGTCACATAATTAATTTGCATATTTATACAAATAACATTAACGTTAGTTTGACAATTCATTTATATTTGTTTATATTGTTTCGACTTTAAGAATATCAATAAGACTTCAGAACATCCTATATTTCAATTTTGCTCCTTTTTCTACGATATAAAAAATGTAGTTTTTATTAATGCAGTATTTAACAAAAAATCAATATATACGGAACGGAAAAAATTGTTTAATATTATTAAGTTGATATGAACTTATATATGTTAATGAGTTTAAAAGTTTTTCTCGTTGATGTATAATGAAAGTATCTCGATATTGACACATTAATTTATTTATTCATTCGCTAGCGTGATTAAAATTAAATGAATATTTTAATTTGTCAAAGCATTGAAGTGTTTTGACAGTTATTTAAAACATTGAAACAAATTTATATAATCTAGTAGAGATTTATTTCCGAAAAACTTGGTATACTTGTAAAAAAGAAAATCGAGCTCTAATTTTTGCCAATGTAGGAGGGAGAGGGATCCAATTATATATTTAATAATTGAAGTGATTAGTTTTTACATCGTATTATTTTTCTTATTAATTATCTCAACTCTGTCCCAATATCTCTGATGTAAAAATGTGTTAGCTATCAAAGGCGTACTTGTAAAATAAGATTATCTCTGATATTATCGCGACCTCGTGCCCAAGGCACGTTACAAGCCTGTTACAAACGCGCGAATATTTTCGTGGCGCATTTTAAAATGCAAGTAAACCTTATTCTGTGACAGGCCGGCCGGACATGGTCCACAACTGCACGACCTCGAACACATCGACCAATTCATTCTCCGTGCGATGCGCAGAGGGCTTCAACGGCGGTCTGCCGCAATCCTTCCTGCTGGAGGTGCGCGAGAGCAATAGCCAGGAATTGCGTGCCAATCTGACGTCGCAGACGCCGCGTTTCAGCGTCAGTCACCTGGAAGCGGGTGCCCTTTATCAAGCCTGCATTTATGCCTACAACGACAAAGGCCGTAGCGAGGCGATGGTGGTGCAGGCCGGCACTCTGAGGCTACCGGAGAAACAATTGACATCTGAATCGGGTGAGTGTGCGAATATTCCTGTTTCATCCTTAAATCCGACTAACCGTGACAGTATGGTATCTGTATCTTCGGAATCGGAAATGGTATACCTGACGATCGAAGTATACGTGTATTCGTGTCGGTTCTGATGCATGCAACGCTATGTATTCGAATGACTTGAATTCGTTTGATGCTCGCGTGCAAAAATTCCTGCAAGATTCACTGTAACGTTAACAACTCCAAAGCCTTTCGATATCTTTTGAACGAACCTTTGCGATAGTCGATTTTGCTTAAAAGTTCCAAGGAAGTACTGGTTCGAGGACCATCATTCTATTTGGTATATCTTACATGAGTGGTTCTCAAACTTTCTTGCCTGCGACATAAAACATTTCTTTACTAAGAAAGGTTGCGTGATCGTATTTTGGGAATTGAAAACTGATGTAACTAATAAGGAAAGTCGATTTCTCTACGAAACAGAATTCAATTTAAGATGGTAGAGAATTCAATTGTCTTTATAAAATTACGATTAAATATAGAGAAAATTTTTAGTAACAATATTGCGAAACTGATCGAAAACAATAAATGAAAGTATTTTATTTTTAAATTTTTCTGGCTTTTTTTTTAAATCTGCTAAATTTTTTTTATCAGTTATAACGCTTCTCTCCAAAGGCTTACATTGAAATCTGAATAATTACGAAAAAATTTCACGTCCATCATACAGGGCGGATGATGAGTCGCCGCCAATTGGCCGGATTGATGAAAAGCCATCGAGTCAATATTAATTCGTCGAGTGAGCTGCGTAAAAAGCTCCCGGCGCTTTTATGATTGCGCGAAAAATCGGGTCAGGAATTGGCGATTTAATACCGTTGGACAATTTTCCAATTGTTTGCTCGATACGATTGTTATCGTAATTTTTAATTCGCCTACCCAAAGGTTGTTGGGAGATCCCGCGCTTTATATCTCTATTAAAATAGAATATATGTTGCGCGCTATATTTAAAGCATTACCCGAATCGCATTTCAACAATACACGACCGAATCAAGCATGACTCTTGTAATCTCGAATACCTTTTATTCTCTCATAAAAGCTGTGCTTGTTACGTCATGCATGATGTATTATTCTGTAGCACCAACTAAGCTATTATTAATATTATCGTATCACACAAAATCCATTAAAAATTCGATGCCATGTCAAAACCTTAAAGTGCTTTCAAAAGCGCTTTTTATCAGAACAGATTATTTATGTCATAATGCACGATTGAAAGCTGCCTAAAATTATTATGTAAATCTGTCACGTAAATCTACAGATGATCGATATCGATTCTTATAATTCGCCCGTCTACATTTCGCTTATTTTGGCATCACAGAACGACCAAGGCAGAACATTCGGCTGACCCCGATGTTGAGCGTGATGATTGGCGTGGTGACGGCCCTCATCATCGTTGCGGTCATCGTAATGATCGTCTTACGGGTCCAGCATACGCACGTGGAGGAGCAAAACAAATCGCAGATGGAGGATCACGCGAAACAGACTAAGGCCGTCCCTATACAAAGGGAGCTACGATTCCGAGAGGGATGCAGTCTGCTCGCGGATGAGAAGCATCCCAGTAGTCCGTTCAGGAAGCTCGACACCAGCGGTGACCTCAGCGAGAGCGATGAGAAGAATCCGGATATCATTCCGCAGCAAATCACTGGTGTGTATCTTCATAATTCGCTAATTCTATATTAATAATTCTGGCAAAATTTAAGAAGCGAGATCAAACTTATGTTGTAAAATCTAAAGCTTTTATTTTGTTTGTAATTCTTCCGCAAGAAGAGAATGTATAAATAAAAAAATTATTATAATATATTTTAAAAATATGTAATTTATACGAATAAGTGTCTAAAAACATTTTCTTCGTGATTGAAAGAAAACCTTGCCGAAGGAGCGCACCGTTCCTTTACGCACTTAATTAATATAATTTTTTTTCGAAAGTTTTTCTCATTTACACACGTGCGCATTCGTAAATTCGTAACTCTGTGATGAAATTTCCAATTGTAAAACACTTGTGCTTTTTCTATAGGCGACGAACCATCAGAATATTTGAGGAAGAGACGTCTGGTATCAACTATCGAGACGTCGCCATCGAGGAGTCTTTTGGAACACTCGACGGTGACTTCCATCAGCGGCCACAGCAGTTACGTCGGTTACTGCACGATCCGCAATGGCATGCCGCTCCACGAGTTCTCAAACTTGTCGACGAAGCACAAAAGCGTGAGTTTCATTGAAGATTCAATAACGTAAACGTCGTGCAAATATTCTGTAGATGTTTAATGAAATAACACAGTAGAGTTTATATTAATAACAATCAGTATGCATCATTCTGCGGTTGAAACAATTCAATCAACGTCCATAATATGATTCGGGATTATATTATAATTAATTAAGTAGAATATCAATAGTAACATGATACAAAACGTAACGATCGATGATAGTATTTCTTCATTGGTACCTTCTTTCGCCCTTTCTCTTTTGCTCAAATAATCAAGTTAGTTCGCATGTGGTTATTCTGATCATTAATTTATGAAAATCATGGACGCGTTTCAGTTTCAGCCGCTGGTGGGTGACGTCTACGAGAGCGGTGTTTGCACCCTGCCGAGACAACACTGGCCCAGTCAGAGCGTACAATCGATGTCGATGACGATGAGTCCTCCGATGCTGTACGCCGGTCTGGGTGTCGTCACCAGGACCTGCCCGAGCGGCAATGCGCTCCTAACGAAGGATTGTGAGACGCGGATGCTCGGTCAGTGCTGTCCATCGGCCCAGTCGCAAAAGGACGCGACGATAGGCACGCCAGTAGTAATGGCCAAGAGGGAGAGCTCCGTGTGACCCTACACCCACCACGGGGCCTGCACCTGCAGCGTGAGCGAATTGCTGTGAATCGCGCGTTGTTTGTCAATAATGAGATAGCTGTGAGTCCCGAACGACACAAGAACATCTGAAGAATGTTTATAGTATGTCTTTAGAATATCTTGTAAGATTAAAACGTCTTTGAAGGACTAAGAAAGAATGATTCTTAGACTCCTAAAGAAGCGTTTGAGACAATTAAGATGTCTATTATTATCTAGAGCCGAAAATTAAGTCTGAAAAAGATCTTTGGAAGATTCATAAAGAATGTCCTTTAAAATGGGACTTTTTCAAACGCTTGTGCTGTTCGGGACACTTCGGGTGTGCGAGCCGGTTCGAGTTCGACGGGTTTACGTTTCCATTCCGACAAAGTGTCACGAATTTGCGCCTCTCTGTTGAATCAAGTGCCCTTTTTAAACCGAAGAATGACGAACCGGCAGCTCTGCCGGCTTTTCTCATCTCGTGCGTAGCTTCGTGACCGAGCCCCGGTGGAACCTCGACGAGCTTCTGCGGTGTGGTAGAGTGAGTTTACAATGTGTACACGTGCGAGCGAGAGAGAAAAGTTCGCCGTGCACACACTCTTGTATATATACCTCGAAACGCGGAAGATATTTTGTACGAGTCGCGTATATTAATGGTTCATTCCCACTTTTACTATGAACACAACATTGTACAATTTGTCTAGTCGATGTAAGTATAAATATGTATATGCGTTAAGTCGTCGTGGAGGCGCTAGACCAGAATAACGTACACTGAGAGGGATGAACATCATTATGTCGTCGCGTAATTATTTATGACGTTGACAATACGGAAATAGAGAATCGGAAGGAGTTGTCAGAGACATATCGTTTGTATCTCCACCGGTGGGAATCGAGTCGGGTGAAATGATATGAATGTACGAAAATCAGTAGCGGAGCGACAAGACGAAAAGAGAAAAATGAATGGATGAATATCCCCATCGCGCGGTTTCGTCTCAGTTTGCAATATTCTGGATTCCACCGTAAGATCAAGTATCTCTTGTACAATGTATAAAGTAAACGACTTCCTTCGAAGTAAATGTATTGAGTATGATGAACGTTGTTTTTCAAAGTCTTGAATCTTATTCTATAGAAAGAGAAACGCCTTCTGGATTATACGAAGGCGTTCTTCTGTAACATGTGGTACGTAATCGCGATAGCACTTCTAACTTACTGCCTGTTTCGACGCTTGTGAATCTTGTTGGTACTTCGTTCGGCAGAGGTTACCGCTCTTAGCCTCTTTGTATTATATAGCTTTAAAAAAAGAAGAAAAAAAGGTCGCCAAAAAGGGGGCCTCGTCATATCCTCCGTACAGGGATACTCTCGTCGTCGATTGAAGTGGCTCAAGGCGCATTCCGCCACCAATCCGCGAAAGATAAAACGATGAAAATTGTATCTTAATATCGAGAGCAGTCGACTGCTGGACGGTGCGTTTAATAAGCTATTTTACGCGAGACGTGTGCGCGTAGAAGAATCTCCTTTTTGCGAGAAGTGATAACCCGTATTTTGCTTCGATCTATACAGATTGATTTTTGCGTACAGGTTTACGCTTCCTCGATTGATGCGACGATCCTGCTGCGACTGCAAGGATTCACGTGAGGAATAGAATGTATTTTATTCGATATGGCTGTGTGCGTAATGTGAGAGAGAAAGAATGAAAAAATCTTTCTAATAATCTTTTGATGTTCACTATATTTAAATAAGATCGATGCTAGTATATATGTATATCGTTCTAGAATTCGACAATGTAATCTAATGTAAAATTGATCTATCGACGGGATGATTGCTATATTGCATATTTTTTTCTGGCATTATAGCGTAAGGCATTCCAGAAAAATAGGGGAAAAATTTTTAGATAAAATTGTTCTTAATTACATTTCGAGAGTGCAAAAATTTATTTTTTATTATGTTGAAAAATTATTCTTTATTCTGTAATTTTTTTTGTAATTTCAATTATTCAATATTAAATCACTTTGTCTCTCTGTTCGTAAAATTAGCTTTCACATTTTTATTACAATTCAATTTTGATGCAGCAATATTACAAATGAAGTCAAAGTTGAAGTAGCTTTGTATTTGTCTATCAGATCGAAACTTTACAACAATTGACCATAAATGGAATGTAGGTTGTGACTATTTGCAGTCGCGTCGTCGTGTTGCAGTCTATTGTATGTGCATACAAATAACTATGCAAAAGAGAAGGTCCTACATGAATTAAGCATATGCATTCATTTGCTTTTCCAAAGGAACGGACGATAATCGGAGATACTTTAAATTATTTGATTGTAAGAAAAATAATGCTTTCGAGAAAATTATAAGGTCTCGAGAAGTTCGAAGTGAATGTTGTTTTCTCGATCACTTAGACGTTACGTTACGTCATTTCCGAGAGATCATTGAAAGTGAGACAAATCGTTGATTACTATTATTATTATTATTATATTATTATTATTGCCATTAATGGAATTGATGTCGGAATATTGAATGTACATTATCGAAGAGAATTTTAGTAATCGTTGAAACGCGCAGCCCACATTACACATTCACCCCTGTTCCCTCGCTCCCTCTCCCTCTCCCTTGTTATAACTTTTGCACACATAATAATTGTAATCGTATGCAGTAAAAAAAAGCGCTGCAACAAAGAGAGTTTATGATGAGAGAAAAAAAGTCACGAAAACGAATCGTACAATAAAACCTGGATTCAACTGCCAAAGTTTCTACTCTTTATTCGTGTGTGTCTGTGTGTGCGTGCGTGTGTGTAATCAGTATACTATAATAGCACCGCACTATATTATAAAATCATGTGAACTTTATAATATTAGTAGCAATTTTTTTCTAACAGAAGATATAACATATATCTTTCAAAGTATTCATTAATTTAATTTAATTATATTTCACGTAGAAAAAAAATAATTTATCATTATTTCTCACACCTTGTTGACTTTCAGAGCACGTTTATTTTTCGCTGTTCAGATGATATGAAATCTTTCGATGACCATGTTCGTCGAACACGTCGCGTGGCATGATATCGCAAGGCGGTGGCCATACATTATTATCTGTAAAATGATCAAACGACATTTGTCAGACAGCACTGAAAGATGCAGATGCACGTCGAGATATCTCTCGATCACACATAAATCACGAAGATAATTTTAACGATAGTTTGTCTGACGCGTGCCGCTCGCCCTCGGCCTCATTTCCGCGTGTGTGTAACTAAAATATCGATTGAAAATAAAAAAATACAAGGGAATATCGTTTTCTTTAGAATAAGAATGCGTTGCATACATGCACGTTACATTAACTGCTTGTATGTCATAATAACGAGACCGGATCTGACCAGCCGCCGTTTGTGCGAGACAACACATTGAAAATTTGTATATGTACTTAGTTAGGACTGTCTCCGACACACACGAGTCTCATGTACCCCTATACCAGAGAATGTTTTTTTGATATTGTAAATATTCTGAAATAAATAATCGTTTTTATTCAAACGACGATGCTTCTTATTGTGCCCCTTCGGACTCCGATTCTCAACAATGATTTAAAATCGTCGCTGCGTTAATATATTATATTTATTACTATTCAACATTATATTATTCTTACCGTCCCAAAACGCGCTGGGCGACACATCGGAATACATTTGCAGATATTCCTCGATAGTTTTCAGAACAGGTGAATTTACACTCAAGAGAAATTCGAGGACTGTGCTTTCAGGCAGGTATTGGGCCGCTTTATCTCCTAAATGCCACAGCACGTCTTGAACGTCGATTCGCTGTAAAATCAAATAAAGCGTTACAAAATAAAATGGAAAACATGTTTAGCTTTATTCAATATCAAACTCGGAATCGTTTTAAACTATTCTTTCAAGCTTCGTTAAAACTCCGTCTGATAGCTGAAAGAATACTCCAAAGCTCTTCGTTAGATTTCTGCATTCCTGCGAACCTTTTCATCTAAACGTGCTCTTGCTATATAATCACATAATGTGTATATCTTCATTAAGCAGTTTAAAACCTGCTTTTGAATATTGTCTAATGTGTGACTTTCTAGAGTCCCTATTAATGTAGGCGGTGTCATATAAATAACGTGGCACCAGTTCGTGAAAAATCTCTGAAAGCGCGATATATATTTCGATTATTCTTATATAATAAATGCATATGCATTATACATATCACTGACTTGATGAACGTGATGATACGAAGGCATAGGAATCGTTCTACCAAATTTGCATTTATTGGTCTGCATAGTGTACATAAGCTTGTAGTGTTTATAAATAATATCTTCACATGCCTTATTAAAAGAATAAATTCTATCTTATTTCTCATTATCATCCTTCAGGAGCAAGTAATTGAATTGATGGCACAAATATAAGATTGTTGTAATTGTAAATTTTCAAATTTTCAAATTTTTGAACAATTAAACAAATACAATAACAATTTTTCTTATTAATATTCAGGGTTGGGATATAAAGAGTTACTTGTAACAAAGTTTACTATTTAACCGTAACTCTTCCGGGCTTTGTTTATTAACAAATAAATTTTTTTCTGTCAGAAATAATCTAAGAGTATGTAACCCTACTCGTATTTTTTGGCACCAAACACAGGATCGACCGTAATAAATTATTAAACGAGTATTTAAGCTAGTATGTGCGCGTATATGCGGAACTCTTCCGTTTGTTTATTAACAAATAAATTTTTTTCTGTCAGAAATAATCTAAGAGTATGCAACCCTACTTGTATTTTTTGGCACCAAACACAGGATCAACCGTAATCAATTGTTAAACGAGTATTTAAGCATGTATGTGCGCGTATATGCGGAACTCTTCCGGTTTGTTTATTAACAAATAAATTTTTTTCTGTTAGAAATAATCTAGTACGTTCCCATCCCGATTCGACAGGATCCTGTTGAATCGGGATGCAGACGCACTACGGGTTCCGATTCGACAAGATCCTGTCGAATCGGGATCGGTAGTACGCTCCCATCCCGATTTTTTACAAAGTAATTTTCCCAACCCTGTTAATATTTTTATATTATGCATGAATAATGCAGAGATATTGAATATACCTCTAATACGTGTATATAACATGTTGGATAAACAAGAAATAATCCCGTTATAGGCACGTCATTATAATCCATATGTAAATCGTGTATAATATGTTCCATTCTCTATAAAATATGAAAAAAATTAGAACAAATTTATTATTTATAATTAATACAAAGAATTTAAGTTAAAAAAATAATATTAAATGTTATCTTTTAACATAACGTAACTATATTTAACATGCAGATTTTTTTCGAATGTTGAATTACTTATTTAATCGTTATTAATGTATTTTAACTCATCATAAAGATTTACATAATTGATTGTATTTATAATATATTACAAAATTCCAAGTTAAAATATGATGGTAATGCACTAACTTTTCGCAAAACTTCATGTGCTCCATGATATTCTCCGAAGTAAATAACTCGTGTAATGTAAGTTTTCTGAAAAAGAAATACTATGTAAATTTGCTGAGAAAAGTTGAGCAAATCAGAAAATTGTGAATTTTTATATTTTATTCTTTTAAAACATATATATAAATATTTACTTATATACATATACATATTGTGTATTAAATTTATATTCACAACAAACAAATATTTAAGTTTTATTTATATAAATTTATTTTAAAGAAACATTAAAGTGTGTAAATTTTTCGAAATTTATTACACATTTATATTATATTAACATTTATATTATGATTCATGATTCATTATTATTATTACCATAAATTTCTAATTACAAAAACGAATATTAAAACAATACTTACACAATCTACAGCGCGAAGATTGTATTGTATCACGTCTAAAACACTTTTTCTTATTGGTTCGGTTATGCGAATCATTAGGTTTTTTACATATTAAAATTATACACAAGAATATGATATTAAGAATATTATGCACTATTATTAACTTCGCAAATTCATAAAATTTGTTTTCTATATAAAAGCAGAAAATCTACTTAATATCTTTTCAATTGCATTTTCCATATAGTTTTAACTAGAAGTTTGAAACAACACAAAATGGATAAATAATTTGAACATCAAAAAAAATTTTATCGATAGTATATCGATATGTATGTTTGCTTTGAAGTTACTTATTTATTTATTATAACATTTAACGCAAATCCTATATAATTTTTTACATCCTTTGCTTGTATAATAAAAAACCTTAAACTCATTTATGATTTGTATTAATTTAATGAGTAATATAACGAGTTGAAAATTAAGGAACTTATATATTATTTAATAATTATCACAATAATTGGACAGTTGTAAAATAAACAATAGAAATATCGAAGGAGTGCGCGAAGTACACGATTGTTGTCTAGTATATGCAAAAATCACGTACATATGTATACATATATGTATATACGTACATACGTATGTATATACAAATACATATTACTTGTTATAAAATAGTTAATTTGTCGAAATTATTTGAAATACAAAAAAAATGTTTAGAGAACTTTTAATTAATAATACTTTGTATTATATATTATATAAAGAAACTTAATTTTAATAAAAAATAAATAAAAAAATAGTAAAAGGTAAAATATATTTCCAATATATATTGCCAGACTATGACAAACTAATCAATAGAATTGCATAGAAAAAACATTTCGCCTTTTGCACAAAGGTGTTATCACAATATCGAATTAAAATTATTCGATCAACATATATATCGCATTTATTTCAAATAATATATTTCAAATAATAAATTGTATTGCGTGTTAGATTGTATGCTAAATTGCAGAATTGTTTCTCAATTATTTCTTTGCTATGATCGGCAGCAATGGTGGTGTCGGTTCGCTAGGATTACCCAGCCATACCGATTTGCTAAAACGCCCTTTTATAACAGGCGGTTGCCATTTATTACTGCACATGACGGTAACTGTCGGCTTCTCCGCTGTAACTGTTGTTATGCTTATAGTCCTGAAATAGTAAAAACAGATTTCAAGAAAGATCAGATCTAACAATACACGACAAGACGATCGCGTATTAACATTTACGGTCTAAACCCAAGGAATAAAATTGCTTACAATATAAAAGGGATATAAAATTGCTTACGTGACATGAAGATAACAAAACAATGAAAGAGATTACATATTATTGTACAGATTGCATTTTTTGGAAAATAAATAACTATCGTGATGACGAATTTTAACAAAAATTGATAGAACAAGGGAGGAAAAAATAAAAAGATATTAATAATGCAGAAGTAGCGTTTATTAGTGAAAAGTTTATTACAAATCTTTCACTATTTATTTCGGTAATAAATTTTGATAGTAAAAAATAATTTACCAAAATTTGAGTATATTAGTAGCTTCTCTCCAAGTCTGATTTTAACAAATACATTTATACTATGACACTCATATCCTCCATTCATTCCTCAAAAACTGTTTATATATTTTATTACATATGTATACTATATTCTTCTTTATAATCAATATTTCAATATCAAAAATTTAATAAACAATTATGTGATAATCGAATTGAGCGCGTCTAAATAAAAAATTAGTTCCAAATAAAATGTACGTTTACAATAAAAGTGCAGAACAGCATTGTGTAGTGATACATTTAGCATGGTGTAAACATTTGACACTTATGACTGCTTTAAAAAAATATAACCAACATTAAAAAGACGCGATGTTACGAATAAACATATTGTAAACAAAATAAAATATATATGTAAATTAAGGAGTTACATGGATGGAGAACAGATAAATTACAATTTTTAATATAACAAAGAGAATGTACGTTCCACACATTTTTACTATCTGATAGAAACTGACATTAATAAATTCAAAATAATTGATAATTATCTATTCTAGAAATGGAGTAACTCTTCTAATGCCAAGGTACTTGATTTGGATGACTGATGGTACCCAGTTTATAGTACCTGGTGGTAGACGGCGTTTGTTGAGCTGGTGTAGATGAATTCGGCGGAGTTGCTAAAACAGGAGTTTCGGCACCTTGAACCGGAGTACCGTCTCCCTTGAGAACAGAAATACATTTCCAATGATTAATATAATTGTCCTTCCACAATCGAACGCAGCCGTCATCACCGGAACTTGCTAAAATCGTTCCCATAAAATTCCAACTAACACGCCACACAGTGCAATAATGGTCATCAAATTGCGCAACTACATTTGTTTCAAAATGTGACACACCAGTCTGCATACTCTCCCTAAAGGAAAAGATAGTAAATGTTTACTATTGCTTTATAATTTGTCTGTAATTTTTTATTCAGCTTTAAATGTTCATACTCACTGTATTGGTTTCAAGGTAACTATCCGTACATCTTTTGTGGCTATAGCCAATGTATGGAAATTTCTACCTAAATTAGGAGCAAATGCAATATCATAAACTGCATCCGTAATGCTTGATAATGTCTCAGCCTTCACCCAACGCCTACTGCTCTCAGAATATTCGTAAATAAAGACTTTTGCACCAAGCAATGGATTTGAGTCATCACTACCAACTGCTATCATAGGTGGATGTAATCTAAAATATATTTTTTCTAATGTCAAAACAAGAATGTTTAAATATATGTATGTATATATATATAAGAAATAATTTTACATTTTTTGTCATACCGCATTACACAACAAAAGAGATTAAAAATGAATATTTACCTCGAGAGAGATGGATTCCATGTTAGACAACTACATGAAAGTTTGCAATTGATATCGTGTTGTAATGTCCATTGGCTCAGATTCATGATATCTGGTGCCTCATATATTCGAATAAATCCATCTGCGCTACAAGTGGCCAATAAAAGACCCAAAGTCTTTGGTGCAAACTTGACATCAGTGACAGAAGTACGCGAATCAACTAAATTTGTTCTTTTAATCCAATGCTTACTACCACGTGCCTCCGGCCCAGAACCTTCACCAACTGTTAAGAAAGAAAATAGATGACAGGTTAAAATATGATGAGAATACCAAGGCTGCAAAAAAAAATTTTTTAAATAATCTCCATCATACCAATTTCCTCCCAAACAGCAGCAGTGCGATCGAACGAGCATGTAGCAAGAACCTGACCAAATTCTGGGTGTGCCCAAGTGACTTTCCACACTGAGCCACTGTGAGCTTTCCAAGAAGCAGTCAAATGCCAATTTCCATGTTCATCTTCGTCCCAGACCTGCGACATGGTTCATTGTGCAAATATATTTACAAATAGTGACGCTTATGAGATTACAAATTGTAACTTTTAATATACATATATATAAATCGCAAAGCCAAAGAAGCGATGTGATTGAATTCGTAAATAAACAGAAAAAGAAATATATCGTTTTTTGATTAACTTTACCTTGACAAATTGATCACTGGAACATGTCGCCATGCGTTCGCCATAATAATCGTAAGCAATATCGTGTATGAGATCTTTGTGTTCCGCATTGATGCTGTGCGCCTCGAACATTGTGAAGAAAATAAATATCAGTAATATATCGCCCGCGTATAATTGTATAATGCTCTGTTGTTTACACTACGAAAATACTACGTGTTGCAAGTTATGCAGTATGCTCTGTGTCGGCATCTGTCGGCACCTTTTATGTGACATGTGCATGTACGACGAAGACAGCTATGTATGAATGGTTGCATTTTGCATTCTCTATACATATAATTTTTGCCATCAATTTTTAATTTCAAATTGAGACTGCTTATCATCAATGCGATATAAAATGTAAAAATATTAATGACATAAATTAAATAAATAATTTTTAAGAATATAAAACTATTATATCATATTTTGTTATTCGCGATTTTTTATTTGTAATATATATAATATAACAATAATTTTTTATTTGTAATATATATAATATAACAAAAATAATCAGCTTCTATATAATATCGTAAAGAATTACTCCATATTTATATCTTATATCTTCATATTTTTATATCTTCAATATATATATTATAAATGTAAGAAATATAATAAATTATCAGATTAGATAAAACTAGGAAGAGTTAGAAACTCTTAATTTTTTATAGATTGTGTATAAATTTTCCTCATATCTTTCTTTATCTCTGTTTCTCTCCTTTTCATATATCAATCTTAATTAAGATATAGGATTAAGGATTAATCTTGACAAAAATCTGTTTTCATTGAAATTAATTATGTAAATTATATATATCACAGAGATTTAAAAAATCCTTGAGAAAGCGGGTATTGTAAAACGTTGCACGTTTTAAATCTCATTTATTATAAGGTCAATGACGGTTTCAGATAACACTTTGACCTGTTCATATGGTGTCTGTTATCCGACTCGTTCTCGTGCAATTGCAGCTGCAAATTCCTTGGCCACCCCGGCTGATCGTCGCGAATGCGATCAGGTGTACCGTGATAATAATCAGATATTTTTACCAATCTTCCTTCAGCGATAATACCGCTCAGTAAGCTAATCATTATTGTGAAGCTAGGGTGATTATCAAGTAATCTCGTAAAGGTAACGTTCAATTTCTTTGTTTGCAATGCGTATGTATAAAAAGAAATATATATATATATATATATATATATATATATATATATATATATATAATCTAAGTAGGATTCACTATTCGGAATATTTCGATATATTTTTTATAAATTTCTTATTTTCCAAATTGAAATATTTTATTACTTCCACAAGAGTTAAAAAATCCTGTAATTTCTTAATTTTTTTCTTCAAACTTTTTTAGAAAAGTTAAAATCTAATGATAAGTAAGTAAAAAATATATAAAAAAATATGGAAGAAATTCATAAATTAATTGTTACTATATCTCTATATTAAATTAATAGAACTTAAAATACAAAATAAAATTTAATTAATTTTACTATTCTATAGATACGTCAAAGTTAGAAGAACCATTGATTAATAAAAAAAAAGTAAAATAAAATAATAAAATTTTGCAATAATGTAAGATATAATAACGTAAAATAATTAAAAAATTATGTCGAATATCAATGTGCATCAGGAAGACTCATTAATGCGTCAAGTTCTGGCTTTGTACTGTTACTTATATACCCTTTATCGCATTTCCGGGGGCTATATTATGTCTACAGCACTCTTGTATATGGTGTAAATAAATACTCTATATCGTGGACTGTCACAGGCATTTCAGTTAGTCGTCTTAAGGAACTTCGTACGACACTTTGCACCTTGAATTCAATGTCAAGATCGAGCTGCGAAACGACAATACGAAATATTTTTATGAGTTGTGCTGAATATATTAATATAGTGTTATAGAATTCTAAAATGAAAGTGAATATAATCAAGACCGAGTAATGTTTTTCGCGATTATGTAACTAATACTCCTGTAATCATCGATGGTGTATCAAACATGATAGTTAAAAAGCAATTCAGAATTCATAAAAATAATGTAACAATGAATCGGAGAATGTGCATAAAAAATATTTTAAAATTTGAATCGTGACATGCGTTGAAGTAATTGCAAATACTAAAATATTTTTATGGGTTGTGCTGAATATATTAATATAGTGTTATAGAATTCTAAAAAATTATAATAAATAATAAGTAATGTATAACATACATGAAATAATAATAAAATAAATAAAATAGAGGATAAAAAACTTTTTAACTCAAATATTTTTTATTAAATTAAAAATGTAATGACTGTCATAGATACTGTGATTCTGTATTTCATTATAAAACGTGCACACTGTGCTTTCGGTAAACAGAGTGTAAGAACTTTGTATCGTTAAAAGTATTATGCTCTGTTTATCACCAGTACGGTGTGACAAAATCATCTGCCGTTGCTGATCAAACGAGATTTTTTGCATTTGAGTTTTACGATTCCCATATTCTAGCATAATTCAGCCCTGTCACTGTGAGGCATTATGCTAAGAATATGCGGTATCGTAAATGCGTGCTGATCTACGAAGAGAGAATATAAAAATTTTATCCGTAAATTTTTTGATACAATATAAAACCAAGCAATACTCTTTAAATTTTAATATCACAGAGTTTAAACAAAAATAATAAAACAATCATAGCGGATATTTTTTATTATCTATCCTCGCAGCATTTGTAAGACTGTTGTCAGAAAAAGAGCACTTGCATTTTATTTACAAATTATAACGATGATTTATTATCGTCGTGATTACAAAACGTATCCCATCATTCGTTGTGCCATTTAACATTTCTGTCGCACCAAAAGAGCGTCAATGACGCATTGCACGCAGCATCAAAGAAATCTTTCACCGAGGCTATCGATTCTCGCGACCTCGCTACGTTTATTATTACACGCTATCAATATATATTAAATGTGCTGCAACGTGAATTTGCTATGAATCCATCGAGAGAACGAATCTGTGTGCTACGTAAGTGTCTCGTAATTAATTTCAATTAGTTTTTCGTATTAAGTAATAATGTAGTATACTATATAAAAGTATACTATATAAAAAACTATTCTACTAATTTTTTAAATTATACATATTAAAATTAATATACATGTTCATGCTTCAATATTTTCAAGAATTATATTTTTTTTATATTAAATGTCAAAGTTTATTATTATTTTTCTAATTTATGTTATTATTAATAATATAATTTATCGGAGATTCTTGACTTTGCAATGTATTTATCTAACGTTTAATACATTTATAAGTAAAGACGGCCCTGATTTGTTGAAATAATCTCTGTTATCAGAAACAAATATAGATATTATTGCGTAGCAATATAACCGTGTCGTAATCTAAAATTGTACCCATATAATTCATATCTGTAGAAAAACAATACTCGTGAAATCAGGGAATAAAAAAATATGCGCATAGCAATCGTGGGTGCTGGTGTAATAGGAGTAACAAGCGCGTTCGCAGTGAAAACCGCTTATCCGAATTACGATGTGACTATCTTCGCCGATGTATTCTCACCTGACACTACTGGTGATGGAAGTGCTGGTCTATGGGGTCCTTTTCTTCTCGGGGATACACCTGTCGACAATATAACGTGACTATTCTTTTAAATTAGTAAGAATATCACCGATTAAAGCAGTGACCAGAGAAATTTTAACAAAAATCAGTGAATATTTCACTGATTTTTAGTGAAAATAATACACTTTGTTTCTTCTTTTTATGTTTCATTGATTATAGCATAAGATTTCATTGAAAAAATTAATCTCTGCTAATTAATTATTTTCTCAGTGAGATTTTATTGTTTACAATAATATAATTATAACAGAAATCACTGCTTAGTGATAATGCACTTCTATTTAAGAAAATGTATTTTTTTTATATCTGCAGAAAATATCGTAAGCAAAATTGCAATTTTAATTGACACAAAGATATGTAGATGACAAAATTTACATCAATCTATATATAAAAATTAAGAAATATTAAAATAATATTAATCACATACCATATTATTAGTCGATGGGCTGACTGCACGCATAAATGGTTCGAACAATTGTGGAAAGCCGGATTGTCATCGAAAACAGGTGTTTCTTTGCTACCTATAACTCGCGTTACTAGCGATTACAAGAACGACATTGATCCGAAATGGACAAAATTGTCTATGGGTTCCAGACACTTAGTGATAAAAAATTACGACGCTTGAATGAAGAACATAAGTCTAATTACAAGTATGTGTTTATCAGTATCATTACACACAATAATATATTTTAAATTCAAATTCAACTGTCATATAACTTCATTAAATTAATTATTATTATACATATACATATATTATATAATTTTTTACCTAAACAACTTACTTTATTTTTAATTTAATTACTGCTTGTTTTTATTTTTGTTATTATTATTTCTTTCTTTTATTTGATTGCTTTCTGAGATTTCATGCTAACAATTTCAGACAAGGCTGGCAATTTATATCTTATACCGCTGAGCCTGTCCTGTTACTGCCGTGGCTCATGGAAAGATTCATCGCTTTGGGCGGAAAAATAAAAAAGAGAAATATTAAAACGTTGCACGAATTAGCCGAGGAAGGATACGATTTAATAATAAATTGCAGCGGACTTGGTGCACGAGAGCTTGTCGCGGATAAAACAATGACACCCATCAGAGGTCAGGTGTACAGGGTAATCGGTCTTCCAATTTATATCGTAGCACAAATTTTTGTTATCAAATTTAATTCAATTAGGAGTTTATTAAAGTTATGAATAGCAATCGTGATTCTTTTATATATATTTTAGAGTTGACATTTGTTAAACACTAATCTTTCTTTTCGATTAAAAATATTTTTTTTCGTCGTAAAAAATATATCTTTTTTAAACATATTTTTATTACCTTGTCGAGTATGTTACAAATAAAAAAACTAATGTAAAAAAATGTCTTTAAGGTAAAAGCACCTTGGATAATGCATTGTTTTCTAGTGGACGACGATTCTTGCAATTACATTATTCCTAAGTAAAGCAAGCATTAATACATAATTATTAGTAATGACATTTATTTCTTTAATACATTAATATTTCTATTTATATATAGCATTCACAATATTGTATTGGGTGGTACGCACCAAGAAGGTGATTTCGATCGTTCCATAAAAGAGGAAGATTCTAAACACATTTATGACGGATGCTGTCGCGTGATGCCGTCTCTAAAAGTACTAAGTTATTCAATGTAAATTTACAATATGGAAAACTGGAAATTCTTAGATGATTCTCTCACTTTGATCATTTCTATCGCAGACTTGTCAAATAATTCGCGAATGGGTGGGTCTTCGACCAGGACGACCGCAAGTTCGTCTGGAATATGAAACTCTCAGTTCTAAGGGAAAAGAAATTAAGGTAAATTATTATAAAATATTATTGCACTAACTATGTCGTGTCACGAGTAATATCAAACTGCAACACGTACATGAATCGTTAAGAGCATTGCAGATTGCAGTCTCTATGAGTCGCTTCTTATGATAAAATCATTTCGTGTTTTATACTTCAGGTGATACACAATTACGGTCACGGCGGAAGTGGCGTGACGCTGTGCTGGGGGTGTGCCACGGATGTCGTGGAAATGATAAGAAACTTGAAAGTACAAAAATTAAACTCCAAACTGTAACTGTCCAGGGACAGAATAAACTTTTTATCCTTCATACATTTTTACTCGCATGCGGTCGCGATGCTTAATCTTGTTCAATTTTTCTTTTCATACAATTCTAAAGGTTGTACCACTAATATTGCATTCTTATCATTTTTATCTTATTTTTTAAGTACAAAATTTTGATGAAATAATTTTGATTATATAGATTTTAGATGAACAACTTAAGTCTCTTTTTCTATATGCGCAATAAATAAATATTATTTCTCCATTTCTGCATTATATGACCGATATTTTACTATTAACTTTATTTTAGACCTGTCTGTTCTGCATACAACAACAAAAAGTACAAAAATATAAATTAAATGTCAAGAAACAAACGTAAGCGCGCGCGTGAGCTTAAAAGTTCGATCTGCGCAAGGCGCACGAGCTTATTTAAAGTTTCGTGTCGTGATTACTTCCATAACTGTACAATTCTAAATATGGTCGTCGAGCTGTGCAATTAAAGCACCAAACTAACTACTGAGATGCTTTACATGTCGACTGTGCCGCAGTAGTCGCGTAAACGCTAGAACGTCCAGGACGCGTATTTCTCTAGTCGCAGTGCGATCTATATCAGTCGTGAACTATTTGTTAGCGTGTTACCTTGGTCAAGATTAAAATCTCTAATATTAAAAAATAATTAATATTGACAGGTATGCATACTATCTAAATATCTATAGGATACTATCGATATTCGATGTATTATAAAAAAAATAACCGATATAAAAAATTAAGTTATATTAATAGTAGAAACTCAAATTGTAAATTTTGAAGAGATAGTCTCCACTTGAATTTAAATAGTTAGGTATAAATTTTGTAAGACTCTCCATTGCAAATGGTACCTTAGATTAATCATAAAAAGTTGAAAGTGAAAATCATATGAAGATGACAGGCAACCAAATGTCATAATAAACGGTGGTGGATTTACAAAGAAAATTTTGTGAAAGAAAAAAGGATTTGTCAATGATTCAAACACCAATCGACATAAGATTAATAACGTATCGATTAGCGATTTATCGCTACGCGATAAATGTAAATGTAAATGGGATGTATAAAATGAACTCGAAACAGATAATTGATTGACATCGCGCGCACGTTGACAGTACAATTGAAATAATCGAATAATGGAAAATAGCGGTCATGATCGTCGAATTTAGCGATAAGCATTCATTGATGATATCACGCAACTCCAAAGACACTAATTCCAGAAACGGTGGTGTGACAAATAACGTTAATAGCGATTGCAGAGAAGGACGATCCTGCAAGTCCGCACTTCTAAATCGAAAATACATCGCTTCCGACAATTCCCCGAACGTTCTATCTCTTGCAAACGATAAAATAGGTGTTGCCAAGCATGATTCCGAACTATACCACTGGAAAATTACCACAGACAGAGGCAATAACACAGGTATCCATTTAAATTCAAATTTTACAAATAAATCATATAAGAAAAGAAATTTGAAATTATGCTTTAAATAAGAAATCTAGAAACGAAATGTTATCAAATTCATAAATATAATTAATATAATTAAAAATTCGGTAATTCTTTGGCTGTAAATAAACCTGTAAATATACTTTATATCTTGTATGTTTGTCACATTACTATTTCACAAGATTTATCAATAAAATTTGTTGAATATAGCCGTGTTGCACAAGAAAAGCGAGTCAGAGCGGTGCGCGCTTTCAGAAAACGTGGAAGAAACGTCAAAAATCAAGAAAAGAAAGCAGAGGTATGTGTGAAAATAATTACATGTCTCGCGTGAGAATCAAAATTGTCCTTCCGATTTAACGAAACAGATTTTTAACAATCTGCACGGCAACCTGCAAATACAACGTGGTTAGAAGGGTGGCTGCGCGATTCGGGATGAGAGAAGTTACGGAGGACAGCAGCTGGGATCTTTATTGGACCGATCTGAGTGTTCCCATAGAACGTGCTAAAGACATGAAGAGATTTCAGAGAGTCAATCATTTTCCTGGAATGACAGAAATATGTAGGAAAGATCTTCTCGCTCGTAATCTTAATCGCATGCAGAAACTGTTCCCGAAGGACTATAACTTCTTCCCAAAAACTTGGTGCTTTCCCGCAGAGTAAGATATATATATCTGTTAACATTATTTTATATTGAAGAAATAATGCTAACAAATTAAAAATTATCTCATTAAATATCATTCTTAAACATTATTACATCAATTATTGACAAAGAGAAAATATTTGTTAAACAGCCGATAATTAATATCTCTCATTTATACTATCTAATTGAAATATAATATCTTAAGTGTAAGCACATTTCTTCAGTAACAATAGTTAGAATCAACATGGTAAAATATCATATTGTAATTCTATAAGTCGGTCTCACGTATCAGAACAAAGAATGCAGCTCTCTATCGATCGAGAAAGTTATTTCTTATCTATTTTACGAGCATGAATTACTTTGCTTTCTTTCTCTGAATGAGAAAGACCGCGCTCTCGGATTCCCGGTCACAACTTCAAGGGTCTACTATATACAGCGATAAAGAATAATCAATATTTGTTGAATGTCGATGAGCGTGTAAGCAAATCGGAAACTTTAGATTTCGGATTCCAGTCACGGCGATGCAATGGCTTATGCTAAAACACGGAGGTCGAAAACCTTCATTATTAAACCGGATTCAGGCTGCCAAGGACGCGGTATTTACCTAACGAAACATTTAAAGGACATCAAACCAAGTGAACGTTTGATCTGTCAAGTATACATCGCAAGGGTATGCAATGAAACATTAATATTGATCAAAATTGACTAGCTCTTTCAAATTTTTTGCATGTTTATTTATGTAAAAATTCTTTAAATTTGTTCAGATTCACAGAAAAAATAGCTACTATAGCTAAATTTGAGCTATCTCTATATTACACATAAAATTATCATGCCTAAATTTTAGCTATGATAGCTATTATTTTTTAGCTATAGAATTCTTCGTTAAACTATAGTTAAAAATATTAATTACCATAGCAGTTGTAATATAGGGACAACTAAAATTTAGCTAATTTTTTCTCGTGATTTCTTTTCGATCTTGTTTTAAGTATGTACAGTGGCAGATGTAATTAAAAACTTGACAGTGCAAAGCGAGTATAATGCATAGCTCTTTTTCTTACCACATCCTTAGCCTTTCTTAATAGATGGATACAAATTTGATCTACGTATTTACGTACTAATCACGTCATGCGATCCTCTCAGGATCTACGTGTACAACGAAGGACTCGCGAGGTAAGAAATGCCCAAAAAACTTTAAAAATTAATATCATGATGTACATTTTAATTAGTAAATGGCTAATTGCACTAGCAAGCATGTATTATTTATTAGCGTGTTTCGATTTTATATATATTTATTTTTCGTTACACTCGGCATACTGTAAAAAGCTATGAGAAATATTGTACTTTCAGATTTGCAACGAGCAAATACAAGGAACCAACCGGTCACAATACAACTAACATGTTCATGCATTTGACAAATTATTCCGTTAACAAGCATAGCCGAATGTATGTCATCGATGACGAAATTGGCAGCAAGAGGTTTGTATTCTCCGATCTGTAGAATCGTTAATATGATGTGTTGATAGAATAAAAAATGAGTTGACAAAATAAAAAAATTGCACTTTACAGAAAAATATCGACGTTAAATAAATGGCTAAAAACGAAAAATATTGATGTGGATGATTTATGGAGCAAGATCGATGGAATTATAATAAAAACCATACTCGCCGCGTATCCTATATTAAAACACAGTTATCACGCGTGTTTTCCGATGCATGATAAAACTTATGCATGCTTCGAGCTGCTAGGATTTGACATATTACTCGATTGGAGACTTAAACCTTACCTTCTCGAGGTAATTCCCTGGAAATCATATAAAGGAAACATTATTAAGCATTCTGTATATTTAATGTAATTATCAGGTAAATCACTCGCCAAGCTTTCATACAGATGCACAAATAGATAAAGACGTAAAAGAAGGATTGTTGATGGATACCTTTGATATATTAAATCTGCAACAATGCGACAAGAAAAAAATAATAGAAGAAGATAAAAAGCGAATCAGGGAGCGACTTCTTCAAGGCATAAATGGAAAAGATTTCAGGTAGAAGTTAAGAGATATTAGAGAACATATAATTTATACTTAAAGCTGCATTCGTGTAGTGTAAAAAATGTGATGTTAATAAATAAAACAATGTTGCATACGACGTGCAGTCAAACTAATGATACGACAGCTTCAACGAAATCTGTGAGGAACGAGAACCATTATATGCAGAGACAATTTCAGTGGGAAGAGGACCATATGGGTAATTTCCGAAGAATTTATCCGTATTTTAACGAGGATAAGTACCAGCCTTTCTTCACGCAGACTATGCTTTCCGTTTTCCAAGATACGGTGGCATCGAGAGCGCGAGAGGAAGCGTCGAGAATAGAGAGGGAAGAGAACGAAGTATAACAATTTTCTCTCATTTTAGAATTTAATTTCCGAAAAATGACGAATAATGAAATTTAGAGCTGCTTATTAATGTCATATAAAAATTGATAGCACAAATAATAATTCATAAACAAATACACATGATACATAAAATACATTATGATATATCTAATGAATAATGTATATCATAAAATTTGATCCTAGCAATTAAATTAATTTTTTAACACTATAAAACTTTTACAATGTAAGAGACACCCTGGCATGAATAAAACAGCTCGCTGTGTCTATTATTCATCGGTTTGGTTTTAATTTCAATCACGTTTTAGCTGAAAGCAAAAGAGGAAGAACGCAAACGAGTAGTCAGGAAATGGAGCGAGCCGAAATTAGGCTCTGAAAGTTCGAATGCGTCGAAGAAAGTGCAAGAGAAGAGCAAATCTGCAGGCGTACTAAGGAAAAACGTGAGTATCTGAAACAATTAATTCATTCTGTAAGTTTAACTGCCATCTGCATAAAGGGCTGCTTTATCGTTATTTCATTACTTCGCTAAGAAACTGTTGGCAAAAATTAAAAGAAAATAATTATCTTCCACTAGAATATAACGACTCAGTGAAAGATAAAAAGTCACTGTTGTAAATAAGACGGGAGATTTTTCTTTATCTAAGAAAAGAAGTAATGAATAAGTATATCCTTTCGCTTTTTTCGCAGATCAATAAGCAGGACACACAAGGACCTCCTGCCAACGCGTTATACTCCTTCGAGCCTGAAATCATATCTGAATCCGAGGAAAGGGAACGAATAACGTCCCTGGCACAGAGGGATTTTCTCATTAAGAGTTACGGTATGCTCGAACAGATATATATGGCGATGAAGAAGAACGGCACGCTACGACCTGCCGACGAGAAAAAATACGGATTATATGGCAGACTCGGACTACATGCAAACACGAATCACAACACGTCTTCCTCTGCGAATAAGCTCCATCATCGCCAAAATAACTGTACACATGTCACGGACCAATGTTCGCTGAAAGGAAATAATGTAATATTTTTATAAGTCAAAATTTATATACTCTCCAAAAAATCAAATCCAGATTTACATCAATTTTAGTCTCTTACAGCTTTGTAATTAAGTGAAACAAAAATGTAATGTTTAGGAAATATAAAATATACGTTCTTTTTTTAGCATAAGATTGCGGAACGCGAATTCAACAATTTAAACAGAAGTGAGCATATGGATATTTATAATATTCCGCAAATTATTTCTATTGTGTAACTTTTTACATGTATATTCAAAAATATTATTTTTTAAATTCAGTTTCGTGGATCACTTGTAATGAAGCGCTTGTTTACGTTCGTCCAAAAATACCGCAAAAATTATGGATGGAGGATACGAATTCTACTAATAAGAATCGTGTAACAAAAGCTCACGTTGCTCGAACATTATCAAATACTGTACGATTGCATACCCTGGAAAAAGAGAGTCTTTTCATTCATCGAAATCAAAGTAAGCCACACATTTATATTTGTATCTATTACAGTTCTATACTTCTGACAATATTAACTGAAAAATATATATATATATAAAATAAAAATTATAACAAAATTATTCTAGAATTAATATTGCCACCAAACACTAAAGATAAAATGGATTTTTTGGAAAATAAAAAAGAAAGTGAAATATATCTTATAACAAAAAAATTACTTTCACGAAAAATATAAAAGCGATTAATATAAAACTGTGATTAGAAAAAAATTTAGGCAATTATTTTCAAGCGTTAATAATTAATACGATATTCTTCCTATTAACTTTGCTGCCAGCGATCTCACATGCAAATGAAGTTTAATAACAGTAAATAAGATTCGTAATATACTGAAAAATATAATTTTACATTAAACATATATAGATATATTCTTATATGTATAAGAGAATATCTCATTGCGCATTAGAAAAATACTTTATATAAATTTTTATTTTGTAGAAAAAATTGATAGGAAAAAAAAGAAATAAATTGTATGATTTGTAATATTCGAAACTTCAACAAACCATACATATTTCGGTGTGTAATACGGATGCTTATTTTCAAGGTAGAGAACAGTAATATAAAAATCAACAATGTATCGATTTGTTATTTAAAGTGCCATATAAATATGTACAATAGATATGAGTGAACATGTACATGTCGCATAAGTGTGGGAATTACGTACGCGTATCGCTACGTATGTAAAATGATCACATACGTACGCCAGTCTATAATATGTATAACAATTTTTATTGCTGATATATATATTCTGTATTCACATGAGAGATAAAAAATAATCTATGAACAATTTTTGTCGCGTTGGTTTTTGCCTCGTTCGTGATATTACGTCCATATCGTTTCACCGCTATGCTTTCTCTTTTTTCTCATTTAATTTCATGTCATTCTATATCGCAATTAATACATATTGTGCCTGTGACAGGCGCATTTTTCAAGTGTTATGACGTAATTGAGATTCCAAAGTCGTCCGGCGGAGAATAATAATATAATCATTATATAAAATAATACTAATATAATGCAAAGCGGTGCGTCGAATTGGCAACGATTGAGAGCGCACATTGCTCTCTTCCTTAAATTTCTAAATCGCGCGCGATCTTTTTCTCAAATTACAATTTTTTTCCTCATTTATAAAACACACCGCATTAAAGAACAGCGGTATAACTTTGCAGAATCCACGCACGTAGCGATGTAACATCGGTCCCTTCGACTGTTTTCGACAAATTACACCTTCAATATTGAGTCATTGTAAGAACAAGATTTAGAGTGCGAAATACATCCAACACATTACAATTGGTGAACCTTTTTCTTCTTGTTTTTTTTAACGTGATATATATTATTTACATAAAACCACTATGGTTGCGGCAAATATTTGTGTGTCTCAAAGATTTGATTCCCACCATATTAAGTCTTAGATATAGAAAGGCTTATGTACATAAAGTCAATAGATATATATTTATAATAACTTATAACGTATATTACGCTTACATAAAAAGAAAACTCAAGGATCGTAATATATATTTATGCGAAATATTTCCATCTCCGTTAAAGTCATTTCAATATATATACATATATATTTCCGCTGAAAATAACTGAAAAAGGTAACTGTATTTAAAAGAAGTGCGATAAGACAAATAGTTGGACACATACGAAATGCATTTGTTTCGAACAGATTTTTACAGGGGAAAGTTAAACTATCATCAAACGTTTAATTATTGTTGCTAAACAAAGAAATATAAATTATAGATTAAAAATTATTAAAAAATATATTGAAACGCATGCTCTGTGTTATGAATAAACATATAGCAAGTGTTGAAAATTATATCATTTATAATTTAATTCTGTGAAAGATTAGACATTATTATTTAAATTACAGATTATTGATTTGTACTAAAAAACAATTTCCTCCGCTGCCATAGTTATTGGCAATGTTGTTATTCGTATAAGAGTTTGTAAATCGTTTAATCCCCTGCATTTTTTAACTTTTGTAATAAAAGCAATGTTAACAGCGTGACCTTCTTCCCCGTACAAGACAATATAGAAAGAAGATATGTGAAGATGGTATTCTATTCGTTGTAATACTAATATGAGCATTATGTAATTATAGGATCCTGTGTGTCACTCACATGTAATATGCATGTGTGTTGTGTATATGAGTGTATATGTTAAAAACGATTATATAAAATAAGCTTAAAACATGAAAACGTTGCGCGCGTGCAACTAAAGTATCATTTAATTACATTAAAAACTTAGTGTTCATTGATCTAAAATTTAAAATAATTTTGAATTAAAAATAAAAAATTTAATTTGCATGACCAAGTAAAGATACTAAATACTTTAACACACATTTGTTTTTTGTCAAGTTAGTCAAATTAAATATCCGTTTAACATAAGCATTCAATTTTATATGTATGTGTATACACAGCATTATATATATATATATATATATATATATATATGTGTCTGTACGCGTATGTAGCTAATATTTCACGTACATATAAAAAAACCTATACAATTCGTAGCTTTGATAATTTTGCGTTAGCTGCCGACGGAATTAATTTTTTTGTTTCCTCTAATAGTTAATTTTCTATGACAATAATACTCGATTTTTTTCCATATTCATATTCTCAATACTATACATCTGGCAGATGCGAAAGATTATGCTAGCTAGTTAAAATTGTTAAGTGTGCATTCTTTGTTAAGATTTATTTATAATGTAAATTTGAAATACGACTTCAGGTTATTTCAAAATAGCTGGATTTTAATAGTAAATTCGATTACAGATTAAAGTTTGTTGTATATTAATTTATCTAACAATAAGTATAGAGATGGACAAAATACAAGCATTTTCATAATGGCAAAATAAACATATTTGTTGAACAATGATAATTTATGCTGAGCGTTTCATTGATTCAACTATTTACATATTTTATGTTACTTTGTATACAACAAACTTTACCTGCATCATCAAATTGAATAATATACATTATTTTTCAAATACAAGAAGCAGATTCAAATAAATTATTAAAATAAATATTTGCAGAAAGACTGCAACTATGACAATATTATAATTTTATTCAATATTTCTTTAGCAATTAATTTTGCACTTAACCCTCTGCCTAGGTGTCAAGAGCTTAAACTGATTCTATTTCCTATATATCGAATTTCTATTAGATTATTAATTTTCTTCTATTACAGTAGAAAATTTGCATGTTTACATCAGTCAAATGAATTCCTGTTATGTGCGTAAACAATCTTGAAAATATTGTTTAGTAAAATAAAATATCATTTTCATTAAAAGTTTTTACATAACTTTAAAGAGATGTACAGTTCTTATATCTTAATATAACTTCAATTAAATCAAGAATTTAAACCATGGCAACAGTATAATCAATTAAAAATTATGGTTAATAAATAAACAAAATTATTTTATAGATTATACTTAATATTCATTTTTCTTATAGCGAATTTGGCTGCACTAGTACACATTGGTGCAAATTAAAATCTCTTGTACATTACTTGTGTACAAACTCTACCTTCTCTCATACATTAGAAACAATATAATTTGATTAATATCTTCAACATATATTTTAAATATAAATTATATTGAAATTATACATAAATTGTATATAAAATATATTGAGCATTTTATCAGTCCAAAATCTGCTTAAATATTATGCAGATACATTTTTTACATCATAATTTATATACTATAGTCTTTAATATGTACCTCAGCACTAGTACATTTAGCCAAATTTGCTATTAAAGCTAAAAAGACATTGAACAACTCATTTATCTTGTGCAAAAAACTTTCCGTTATATTGTTTTCATTTTTTCGTTTCTTATTTTTATTTAAAAATATTTAATAAAATTTTTTTACTTTTACTTAAATAAAAATCAGCGCTAAAATAAACTAAAGATATTAAAGTATAAAATTTACCATGGTTCTTTTATATTAAAATACATGACATATAAAATATAAGAATTGCAGCATTTCTAGGTACAACGTCTGAGAATACCATTGCTGCATTTGAATCTGTATAATTCCGTTTTGTGAATGGAATTAATCCATTCATGCTGATTGTATTGAGTTATATACTTAAATTTAATACCATGTAAATCTAACAATAAAAATAGGACTTGTGACAAGTTCTTATATCAATCTTCAGTAATAATCCATAATTATTTGTTTATCACAATAAATATATCTATATGTTAAAGGTGATACATCCATCAATTGTAATAAACAAAAAAGTTTTTAAATAATAGATGAATAGTATTGTGTGTATGTATATATATATATATATATATAGTATGTGTGTATATGTATATATATATATATATATATATATATATATATATATATATATATATATATATATATATATAGTCGCAAGTATATTTTCATTTTTCGATAAATTATGATGATGATTGCGTAATAAAATAATCCAATGTCACTTATATGCCTTATGTATTAAATTATTTCCGTTTTTATCATTTATATCAATGTGTTTCAATACACATTAATAGATTGATGTTCATGTTATATACTTTTACAAATATAAAAAAAATCCACAGAATCCTTTAATCAATGATTCTGATGACAAATGGTACTCATAAAAATTAGTTTTATTCACAAATTGATATTATCAGACCGCATATATCGATTGCCGCAAAAAGATAATATTTATTATAATATAATGTTTATCAGGAACGTTTATGTAGGATAAAACAAAGACGATGCAATTGCTCGTCTCTAGTAATGTATACGTCTGTTCTGTTAATATCGAATACATCTAGGTATTGTTAATTTTGAATTAAATGCAATTAGTCGTAAGAATAAATATTTTCCAAATTTTAGATATTTTATAACATTATGAATTCATATCAATCGTATTCAATTTCAGTCATGGAACATTTTGTAATCCTTTATATTTTTGTTTTAAGCCGAATTATTTCAAAATACTTTAAAATATTACATTAATTTTCAAAAATAAAGAAATTTATATATGCCAATATTGTTTCCTGTATTTATTAAAAATTCTATTTTAAATAATGTAATAATTTTATTTATGAATCCACTTGTCACAAAGTAATTAAATAAAATTTAAAATAACTCGTGAATGTCATTTTTATCTTCGTATTCATTGATACACGCGACTTAGAATGATAATCTAATATTTTCAACAAGTTAAAGCTAAGTTAACAGCAAATCTTTATATTTCATGCACGATTTCGTACGTGCACTAATATTTATCATATGTGCTGTAGGTGTCCATGTGTATGTGCGTAACCGTACGCGCATGTATGTGCAGATCCACATGTAAACGCTAACAAAAAGTCACTCGAGCGTCGCTAGAACGACGAGACACGAAATGTTATGGTTTAAACTTAACTAGGGGTATGTTCTTCGAGTTCAAACATTTATCACACACCCATTCTGCATAAATCTCTGCTGTTAATAATTGAAAAGCATGTTCGGACAATCCTGTGCATCCCCTGAAATAATCGCGTTCGTGAAAACGCGCGTCATATTATTGAATTACGTTATGTTATTATTAACTCACCTGTGAAACCAAAAATTACAACCAGATTCACACAGAATTGCCTGATCATTATCGTGTACTTCCTTATGACAAATCCCACAAGGGTAAATTGGTGGTGCGTTAGGATTTTGTGGATTGAATACCATTGACTGCTCTGGAGGATATACCTGAAAACAATGAAAAAAATTGTATGTGTAAATTTGTAATATATTTTGTATACTATATAAATTTATATAATGTATAAATTTGTATAATTTATAAATTATAATGGTTATATTTAATATATAAATACATTAGACATATTGTAATGTGTTTAATAAAAATTAACTTACTTTAACTGTAGACATTGGCATCGATTTTGGACCCATTCCTGGACCTTGAAATCCATGTGGCGACATAGATCCTGCCATGGAATTAATAGGGTGTCCTATAGGTCCACCGCCCATATTATTGGGTATTGTACCCATTGGTCCTGTCATATGACCTCCCATTTGATTATGATGACTAATATTCATATTAGGCATATTCATTCCTGGACCACCCATATTCATATTATTCATCTGATTCGGCACATTCATATTCATATTATTCGACGTCATCGAACTCATAGTTGTCATAGGGCCATTCATAGGTCTTCCTAAATTGTTAAGATTGTTTCCCATATGATTTGGATGAGGTTGAGATCCATTATGCCCTAATGGACTATTTACATTGTTTAGCGATGGTCCGTTTAACGGACTGTTGGGCGGTATATGACTGTTCATGTTATTCATGTTCATTGGTCCATTAGGCATATGATTGGATCCTCCCATAGTGTTCATCGGAGAACCTAAAGGACCACCCATAGGACTACCCATATTGTGACCCATGTTGTTCATTGGACTACCCATAGGCCCACTATTCATATTATTCATTGGACTACCCATAGGTGGACCGCTTAGTTGCGAATTTCCCATATGGCTCATATTTATATGATTATTCATAGTGTTTATTGGACCAGGTGGCATGTTTGGTCCCATATTATTCATGGGACTCATGCCGCCGAGAGGAGCATGGTTCATAGGAGACATGGCTCCCATATGATTCATATGATTTGTCATAGGTGAACTACCCATAGGGCTCATGTTACCCATGTTATGCGGTATCATAGGACTCATGCCACCCATAGAGGTTAAAGGACTCATACCTCGCATAGGAGGTCCACCCATGTGATGTGGATGATGAGGATGCATATGCGGAGGGCCTCCATGCATCATTGGACTTTGCGCAGGCTGTGGCGGTGTATCATCGAAGGGATTGCTCGCTACTATAGTATCACCGTAACCTGATAAAGGTGGGGGTAGTAGATCCTGTTGAATAATTGTTACACATTAATATAGTTATATAAAAAAAGTAATAATTTAGTGCTAACACATTGAGACATAAGTATAACAAAAATATATTAATTTACCTGTACAGATGGAGGTTGCTGTGGAGGTGGTTGAGCAACATTTGAATTTGTACGTCTTTTCTTCTTAGGATTAGTACCAGCTGGTGGTGGCGGTGGTGGATGAGGATGGGCAGAAGAGTCAGGATGTGAGGCACTTGGGCCCATATTCACACCCATTCCCATACCCGCCAGTGGCATCCTTGTAAAGGGTGGCATGCCCGCGATATTGTGGCTCATTTCCTTCGTTCGCTTCCCTTATTTTATCATGCCAGTACCACTGAATTTTCGTGGCAAATGATTATTGCTGATCCACTGTTAGGAAAGAAAAGAAGTTTTGTGATATGAATTTACTTAGAAAGCCATAGGCAATTATATATGTCACGTTCTAATGTATTTGCGCATCATATTTATAAACTCTATAGATAAGCTATAATATTTATTAACATTATAAAATATAACATTTTGTATTGTTAAGGAATTATAATTTAAATTAAATTTGATTAAATTGGACATAATCATAGTTATGTGTATGAATGTGAGTATTTATAAATAGAAAGTTAGATGTATATATTATGAAAGAATATAAAAAAGTACATACAGAAATTATTTTGCGCATATTTCTTCATACATCAAATAGGCCTTTAATCTAAAAAAAGAAATACCAAAAAAAGATAAGCAAAAATATCTCATAACAAATTCTATAATATTCGCTTTTTATTCATGTCATATATATTAAACATAAAATATTTACTTCCCATCAATCAATCATCGATAACTGGCGAACGAATAGGGCCACAGATTACGATAGCAAAATATCGTACGTATATCAAATAATCGTTTCAATAGAAAATTCTGGCAACACGAGAGAGATTATCATTCATAAATACACCAACGTACGAGAGAGCCAAAGAGACGGAGAAAATGACAGAGCGTAGTATATAATCTACGTAAACATATATACGAATCTCAGGTCCGCGTATATATATATATATATATATACACATATATACATATATCTGTCAAAGCATGCCGCCTATATATATATATGTCGATAAAAATAACAAAATTATTACCTCGAATAGTACGGCAGCAGTTGATTCGTCGCGTTGCAAACGTTATAAAGGCGAAAAATCTCGAAGAGAAAGAGAAAGAGAAACACACACACACAGAGAGAGAAAAAAGAGATATATACATAAACGCGCGCGCATACGGAGAGAAAGAGAGAGCGAGGAGAGCGCGTACCCGACGCGAGCGTACCTTGGGCTCGGCGATAAGAGGCCCGTGATACAACAAATAGAGGAGACCCCGCGTCGCGCGCGGCGTGCAAAAGGGAACAAAATAAATTCCGCCTGGCAATCTTGCAGGACTAACCTAACCACGCGAGTTCATCGTCGAGAGCTCCGCAGGCGCCTCCGCCAGTCTCGATGCATGCGCGCGCGCGCTCGCTCGCGCGCGCGTGTGTGTGTGTGTGTATATACACGCATGGCGCAAGGTAGCGTAAACGTATAGCGCAGCACGTAGATCGCGCACTCGGTCTTGGAGCACCGGGTGATTTAAAAAGCCGGTCGAGACGTTCCGCGGAGCTGGTACGACGCGACCATCCGCCAATGTGTTTGCTCTTACTCACCAGCGCACTATAGGTTAGGCAACGACGCGAACGTGCGCATGGCACGGTCGTTTTTTCCGGATGCACCAGCACCATGAATTGCGGCTGTGGCGAGCCCCGTCCTGCTGACCTCGACGGTGGGACGAGCGGTATGCGGAGATTCGCGATTCCGAATCGCGTCTCGCGATAAGCGCGCCTCTCGCCGACGTTGACGGGCCACGCATTCACAGAAGCGGGTACACGATCACGTTGTACGCACTCAAGCACTCTCACGCACTGCGTCGTACTGCTGAAGCAAACGGGAACGAGATAGCGCACGCCAGAGTCCCTCTCAGGTCGCCATTTGTCGCGTCGAGCGTGTCCCTCTTACGGACTATGTCGTCCGTCTGCAATGTCGAGAGCTGCCGCGGACGTCCGCCAGATGGCGCCACCTGCCCGTCTTTCCGGCGTCTGGTCGGCGTTCGAAGCGTGGAGAGGAGCGAAAGTTAAATAAGTAAGTTTCTGGGATCCGCGATCTGTAATTCAAGAAAATTCCTGTTGAGTTTCAACGATTTCACCGGGTTTTCTTTACGACAAAATGTCATAATTATATTATATTATCATTTGTGTGTAGATTATTTATATTTCTGTTGAAATAAAAGCTATTTACGCGTAAACTCGAAAGACAGAATCTTATCATTTTACATACAAATTTTCTTCCACGTCATTATATATTTATTTATGTTTATTTGTTTGATTTATATGCTAAAAGAATACGTACATTTAAATTTTTATTTTTTGCAGAAAAGATAAGCTTTCGAATTTACATCTTTTTCATTTTTCAAAATAAAATCTTTAATTTAGGTAAATTAATATAAAACAACATCTCTTTTTTATATATGCACATACTATGTATAATACAGTCACAGGTTGTTTCATAAAAGTAAAAAAAACGTTATAGGTATTTTATAATTGAAACTGAAAATTTATATAACTAATGTTGTTTATAATTAAAAAGAACTATTCTTTATTTTATACTATATTTATTTCTAAACAATCGTATGTATATTTAAAAGCGACAAAGTAAAAAAACCAGTTCAAATAATATATTGCTGTTTCTTTAAAAATTAAAATTAATTTTCAATTTTAATTATAAGAAACCTATAACACATTTTTTTACTTGTACGAGGCAAACCAGTCTTATAGATAATGGCTTTTTATTTTAGATGATCACTATACGTGTAAATATATATAAATCTGTATAAAGAAAAAAACAAATTTATATAATATTTATACAAATAAATCTATTACACTGAAAACAGCTATTGATTTTAAATAAATATTTATTTCAATAGTGTCATTAACACCATTTGTTTGAAACTAATAATAGGTATTGATTTGTCGTGAAAAAATAATTATTTAATATAAGAAATCCTTTTCCAAAACAGATAAATATTTATTTGTTTAAACAAATGGTGTTAAGGCACTATTGAAACAAATATTTATTTAAAATCAATATCATTGTTTTCAGTGTATGTATATGTATATTATACATATAGATTATAGATTTATTATAATGTAGCATACAGATTTATTTAAAGATATGATATTATATTAATAATAGGTATTGATTTCGTGAAAAATAATTATTTAATATAAGAAATCCTTTTCCAAAACAGATAAATATTTATTTGTTTTAAACAAATGGTGTTAAGGCACTATTGAAACAAATATTTATTAAAATCAATATCATTGTTTTCAGTGTATGTATATGTATATTATACATAATAGATTATAGATTTATTATAATGTAGCATACAGATTTATTTAAAGATATTTTTATATAAATTAAAGATATTATATCAATCTCTTTTATATAGCTTTGGGATATAATATATTTTACGAGGGAGATATAAAATAAATAATCCGACGAAAAACACTGCAACTAGCTTAAAAAATTCAAATACTAAGAAAGAAGTTTAATGCAAAATGATATATGATTACCGCTCGCACATATAACATTACATGCATTCTAAACAGGCGCGTGAAATATATAATTATAACATTCTGCACGACAAATCTTCCATCCACATCCGAGCTTAAAGTTGACTCGCGATCCTAACATAGAGAGCTTGCACACATCATTTTAATTATTTTAGTTTCGTCAGTAAGTTAGCCCAGCTCCAACAACCGGAAAACAACTCTCGCGAATATCTACTTCGGACGATATCTATCCATCTACATAGGTAATACACACATATACATACACACCCACACACACACATGTCCGGAACTATGATTATACTATCTTATCTCTTTACTCTTATTTTAACATTAATCTAGATTTATACCGCAACTATATGCGAGATATTCGTCGGTGCATTCAAATGATTCAGAAAAAGATCGGAAAGATGTAATGCATAATATAAGTTATATGAAAAAAAAAAATGTTAAAAACGTGAGATTTCACACACATACATACTATACCAATTAATAAAATAAGTTTTAAAATTAATTGATTTTAATAAAAAAGCTTTACGTTGTTATATTTTGATACTTGTATAAGATAATGAGAAATTTTCATCTTTGTATGTTATTTTTTTTCTTACAAAACCGCATATACTAATTTACATTACAATTATACGTCTGCAGACATAAACAAGCCGTTATTATCTGGATTTTATATTTTGCATCGTGAAAGAAAAATCCCTCTATAAACGAGCTGTCTGTCTGCCTAAACAGATAGACAGACGAAATTAATGCGCCATCGACCATTCCCTAGGAAATAATATTGTATGAAAAAGCACAGGGATGCCATTCTCAGTTTATCCTCTCACGTTAACGGCTCTATCGATCTCATTAACTGCCTGGGCACTCGCGATTTATTTTTATCGAAGGATAGAGTATAGACTTTCCCAGAGAGAGTCGCACCGTTTTCGTCTGGGCAAAAGTGGTACAAATCGGGAGCATCGTGAGCAGAGTGGAAAAACTGGGCCAATCCCCGGAGGGGAAAAAGCTGGAACGGGCGTCCTAAGAGATCCTCGATGGGGATGAGAATAGAGTATGACAAAAGACGTGAGGACGGACAAGGGAAGGATTTAATAAATTTCTCCGGAGGAGTCTACTAAATGGGGTAAATTATACGGTTATCGGCTACTTAAGGAATATCCGTTTTCCTTGTGAAATTATCGAACGATGCTCTGTTGCGTGTAATTGTTTCATTATCAACTTAATAACGAAGAAATGTGAAATATATAATCGATGTAAAATAGAAATTAAATTATTTCATATCACGCTTCGACTTTATATATATATTAAAAAGTGGGTAATAAACGAATGTTGTGCAAACCTCAGATTATTATCACACCAGGTCTTTTATAATCCTAGAAATATATCTTTTCTGAATTCATTTCGTGTTTAAATCTTCTTTTTTAAACATTTGCATCAAGTAGAAATGTTGGAAGATAACTCATGAAAATTCATTGAGCTTTCTGGGAAACCGTTACTTTTACATGAAAATAAACTACGGAACTTTTCTCACAGACAATTTAACAATCGTGCTTATCATAATCACATATCTTTGTAAAGAATTATTTTCAAATAAAAGTTTTAAATCAATATTTAAAACAAAAAAATCAAAGATTTATATATGTATAGGTATTATATGCTGAAAATAGCTCTTGAAAATAATTGCTTTAATAGAATGTTGTTTAAAACAACACGTATCCTATTGAAAATAAAATAAATGAAACTGTGATTCCATTTATTTAACATTAACAATACTGTGTCTTAAAAGAAAGGATCGGAAATCTGGGAGGAGAATCACAATCGAATGGGTCTAATAAAAGTGATGGCGAAAGGTTTGGCAATTGGCGGATTGCTCGATATGTAGCAATCGACTATCTACGCGAACAGATTCCGCAAACAGCAACATTTTACAAACAAAAACAGCGCGCCAATCAATCTGTCGCGTTGTGCACGCGTGTCCTGAATAAGAAATAGGTGATTTGCACAAATTACGCGAAGGCTCGACGGTTACTCAGCTAGAAGCCTCAAAAAAGGAGGCGGCGAAGACGACACCCTTGTCGAAGATAATCCTGGTAACTTCTTCTTGACAGCTCGTTATAACGCCCGGTTATGATCGCGCACTAGAGATGGTTGATCATTTTTTCAAGCTTTTTTCGTTAAAGAGATTAATCGATTTTAAATTACTCAATGAAGCTGTCGTTTAAAATTGATACGCTATAAATAGAATTTTTCTATGACTTTCAATTATTAACAAATACTTCTGACGTGAAAAATCCTGTTGACTCCCGTAACGATTAGAAATATGATATTTAACTGTCAAATGTATTTCAAAACTGAATCGGACCGCGCAACTTCGATCACATATCACTTTTTCCGAAATATATTTGTTTCTCGCTCGAGGCTTGTTCGTAAAATTTTTTTTGGAAATCAAACAGACGTAAACTAAAAAATATTTGTTTAAAAATTCGTTTATAATATATATATAAAACACCAAACTCTTTGTTAAAATTATAGTAAGAAATTCTAGTTTTATTGCATTTTTCGCCGGTGGAGATTCATTGAAGTTCACGCGGTGAATTCGAATCTAAATTTTTATAGAGATCCATTTCTTCTGTACACGTATATATACGCATGACACGCGTGCAATCACCTCAGTTTATTACCACTCGAACACGCTTTTCTATTGCCAAGCGGATGCGTCGATTGCATCGACGAAGTCGAGAGAAGCGATCCTTGACCCGTTGCTCAAGGATGCTTCGACATTCCCCGGTGTCCCTTATAAAGAATTTAACTCGGACGATTCTTCCAACGACGGTGGAACGTATCTCTAACGTCACTTCGCGCTCGTCGAATCGTTAATACGCCTCGCGAGAAAATGTAGCGCTATTGAAGAGATTCAAGAAAGTTCGCTGCAGTTTTCACTGCTCGAATGCTGCTCAATTGTTATCGAAGAGGTAGCAGTACCCATTTCTTTGTGATTTCTTTTCCGTTTTTAGAATCTATGATAATAGAACGATTAATTCTGTCTTCTTCAAATGATCGTTATTGTCGAGGAAGTATATATCGCTCGATAATATTGTAAAAAGAAAATCCGGAATCGGGTTTCTGATTGTACAAAATTGTTCTCGGCTTGAATATCAAACGCGATTTACAATATCGAAGCAATATATTATATACGTCGTAATTATATAAAAAAAAAGGGAAAACAAGATAATAATCGGTCATTTATTGAAAAAGATGATCGCAATTGTTAAAAGAATGTCATAACAATACGTAACATAACGTTACCGAGGAAATGCTTTTATGGATTTGAAATTTATTAGCACTACGATAGCTATCAGTTATTTTTCCAATAACTATCTCGGCTCTAGTAAACTCACATTGGCATGACGTTGCGCAATGTTTCTCCCTGCACGTTACAGTGTATCGACGAAACTTCAATAAAGACCAAACTTGCTTTTATTGTTTTCGTGTATTGACCGAATTCTCAATACAAATCCTCAACGTT